GCTTTACATGAGTGTCCAAATGGGGAGTCAATCAGATGTATTAATGCTGTGAACCGTGCCACATTGCTGGTTAGCCTTTGTTAGTTTATACTTTTTTTTTTTATATACATACATTTTTGTGGAAATAATAGCTTGCATTGTACTGGAAGGAGAGTTGTAAATCGTATAACAAAGGCAAGAATGACACTTTTTCTTGTTCGACAGAGTTGCATTGATGGTTAAATGATTTCCCACTAACAATATTTAATGAGGTGTGCTCCAAAGAAATCTGTGTACACCTTAACAAAGGCACATGTCGAAAGCTGTTGGTGTTTGGGAACTCCTAGGATTTGCTTGAGTGATATGAATTATATTGTTATGACCATTAACGTACGACTTTTTAGACTTGAAAGCTAATGGAGTTGGAAGATTTTATGCATCACTTCAAGTATTAGGTGTCTTTCTTACGACGAGTCAGTAGTCCTTTCCAGCTGTAAGGACATACCCATATGTTAAGACTAGAGATGTCGCGAACCGTCCGCGAACTTCCCGCGAACGGTTCGCTGCGAACTCCGGTCAGCTGACACATCCCTGCCAATCTCCGGCAGACACTACCTCCCAGACCCTCCCACTTCCTGGACAGCATCCATGTTGAAGCTGCCTTCAACATGGATGCTGTCCAGGAAGTAGGAGGGTCTGGGAGGGAGGGTCTGCTGGAGATTGGCCGGGATGTGTCAGCTGACCGGAGTTCGCCGCGAACGGTTCGTGGCGAACCGTTCGCGGACGGTTCGCGACATCTCTAGTTAAGACTTGTGGATTCCCAGCTTCCTCAATGAATTCATTTGTCAGGTATTTCTTTTTAGAGCTTGATTAATCAAGGATATTCATATCGCATTCTAGAATACTGTTGCAATATACAGATAATCAACACAGGCGGAGTCTGGAGTAGCACATTGACACATTGTGCTCCCAGGTTTTCCTAGCCCTGCTTTATAAAGGTCTATATTTTGGTACTATGGGGGTGGCATTGTGTCAGATAACCTGTGGACTCATGACACAAAGTTATGACACCATATGATAGGATTATGTATAATCTAGGAGAACACCAAGCCTCAAGGGAATATTGAAGATCTCTAGCAGGGAAAGGGTAGAATCATTTAAGAACAAGACCTCTCAGGTGTCCCAGGAGAAGCCAGTCACACTAAGAAACCGCTAAAACATTTGAGATTCTGCAACCAATGGCGCAAGGAAGCAACTAGCTGCATTTATGCATGTGATGGCTCCACTGCCTGGTGGGTCTAGGATCAATGCAGGCTGCATGTTTGTCACCCCTGTTATAGATGAACTGAATGTGAATTACAATAAAATGACAGAAATACCATCAGCAGCTACATGGTTTGTTTGTTTTTCTGAGCAAGAAGTTAGATACATCTAAAAATAACCCTGGCAAATCGTTACAATGACACCAGGCTATAAAACTCCTCAGATGAATCTGTGATAAAAATTCCTTTCAACCCTCTTAAGGCCAAATGACATTCTATTCAAAGTAATGCATATTAAATATCAGTAGCTCCACAGAGCCTCACTGTCAATAAATGAGTAGAACATTTCCTGTCAAGAAAGGATCTTTCAGGGCCCCAACTATAAAGAAGTAAACCATTAATGTTAATAGGTTAACGGTTAAAGAATTCTGCTGTTTGTGAATAGGAGCCATTGTGCATTTACAAGTGCATTATAGTTAAATATTTAACGGAAGCTTGATGCATGTTTAAAAGGATGGATTCTGAAGCCCACTAATGCATAATTAAGAATATTTGGCAGATTAAGAAATGTTATGAAAAATTTAAATATATTTACGACTCGTTTTTAAATCTAAAGGATGCTACAATTACAATGCTAATATATAGTCACACATTTACTAGATCACATGCTGGACATGTGACATTGGATTGTAATAAGGGTGCATGATGATGCATTGTTTCCTATTAGCAGAAATTATAACATTTGGTTTTTAATATGTGTAGCTGGAGACTGAAGAGGTGACCTGCACATTCCTCTTAAGTCATCTAGTTGGATGAGGTTTCGGAGTATCACATGCTGCTTATTAGTCACCTGGCTAAGATACACACAACAGCTAACATTTCTTTGTTGGCACTTATCATTTGTTCCATATCCTTTAGGTCCACCACAGCTGACTTGGACAGCAATAAACCAAGACTGTCCTATGAAACATAAGACATCTGTCAGTCTTGCACCATAAGTCATAAAGCCATTTTTGTTAAACGGCTACTACATTTAAAAGGTTACTATAACCCTTTAGAGGTGTAATATGCCCTATAAAGGCATTGTGGAGAAGGTGCCCCCCCCATTCTCAATGCGCTATAACATCCGCAATAAAAGTTTTTTTACTTACCTGATATCCAGCACCAGGCAGAGCTCCCAGCGCTGCTTTTCAGAAACCCCTCTTGACATGGATGGGGCCGCACATGGCCCAGTCAGAGGGTTCACTATGGGATAAGACAAATTCACAGGCTAAGAGCACATGTGCATGATCTGGACCGGCGACAGGAGGTGGGAGGAAGGATTTACTTAAAAACAAACAAATAAGCGAGGGATGGAGGACTAGGGTCCACTGGGAGAATACAACTATCTTCTCCCTGCGAGCGCAGTTCACATCTGTTGGCAGGTGCAGTGCTGGGATGCCCCAAGTCAGGTGTGCTGGAGGTGCAACTAGGCCACAATTAAAAATATCTCCGTATGTGCAGTGTTTCAATCAGAAACACTGCACATACAGACTCCTACAACCATGACCAATGAAAATCACTAAGTGGTCATGGTGGTTGGACTAACCCTTTAAGACATTAAATTCCTCTTCATAAACTATAGGGAGACTCCGTTCAAATTAGAGTTGAGAGTTATATTAATTCAAGGTGTATTCAACATTAAATTCCAATTTAAGGTCAAAATAGCAGAAACAGAAAAGTAGTTATGCTTGCAGTTCAGATACTCTGGCCTTACATTTTAAATTCACTTTAGTAAACAACGATGTGGAGCTTTATCTAATTTCAGTAACAATTGTTACAATGGATATACAGTAACAAACCAGTTACAAAGCTAAACAAAAATCAATGCTGTCCTTGAGAACCGAGGTCATATGATATGTTTATAAACTGACCAAGCTTTCTTGCAGTTGATCATTGGAACGGTTACTGTTCTCATATAAACATTTTCTGAAAGATCTTCGTGACAATATTTGATGTTCTTTGAATTTAGGAAGTTACAGATTCTTAAAGAGACACTATAGGCATCCAGGCCACTTCATCTAATTGAAGTGGTCTGTATGCAATGTCCCTGTCCCTCCTTTCTACCAGACAGCCGCTAGAGGCAACCCCAAAAGTGCAATGGACTCTTGATCGCCTAAATAACGCCCTTATGCTTTGCACGAGGATCGCCAGTGTCCATAATACCTCATAGTAAAGCACTGATTCAATGATTTCCTATGGGGAGGGCCTAATGCTCTCACTGCCCATGCGTATTAGGCTACCCCATCAGAGGAAGTGGCGTGGTGACCCAGCACCGAGGAACATCGGCTCTCGAATCGGGTTAGTAAATAAAGGTTAAAGTTTTTACTAAGTGTTTACTCTACATGTGATTATTTAATGTTTACTGGATTCATTTTTTTATTTGTATTTTGTTTTCTACAACTTCATTTTGTTTCTGTGTGTGGGTGTGTGTTTTTTCTTATTGCAATTGAATAAAAAAATACTTTCACTTGGCACTTGCAATGTTTGGTTCCTTGTCTATTGCATCTTACTACCAACCATTTTTTTTTTCTACCATATGTCACAAAAGTAAGACAATCTGTTTTTATGTAAAGCCCACAACTCATAAATGAAAGCATTTAACAAAATCACTAGTACCTGGATTTTGGCTGTAAAAAGGGCCTCCATTTATTTGGTTCTGGAGGCTTGGTTGTGAGGTCATTGATGGAGGACGCCTATAGGGGAGAGATCCTCCTATTGTTGGTGGGTTATGCCGAGACACTGGCCTGTTCATACTGTAGAACTGTGCAGGATGACCTGAATATAAAGAAAAAACAATCGACCAAGTCAGTTTCAAATGACCTGTACAATGCTACACTGCAAACATAGAAAGTATTAGGTATCCAAAATAAACTTAAATAAACTAGTAACAGAAAGTAGTTCAAGCTTTGTAAATCAATATAAAACAACATAACCATATTTTTGTCTGTCTTTTGCTCACTGGTCAGGGCCGTCTTTAACGCGGGGCAAACGGGGCAGCTGCCCCGGGCCCAGTTTCTCTTGGGGGGCCCGAGGCACCTGACCCGTGGGCCCCGCTGACCCCGGCGGGCGGGCGCGCGAGGGAGCACTCAGTGCTTCCTCTTCAGCTCCCTCGCGCACCGCACTGATACCGGAGCCGGAAGATGACGTCATCTTCCGGCGCCGGCATCCCTACGCGACGCGCGAGGGAGCTGAAGAGGAAGCATTGAGTGCTCCCTCGCGCGCCCGCCTTCCTGCCCGACCGGCCACCCGCCCAGGAGCCCAGCAGCACCACTGGACCCCAGGGAATCCCCCCCAGCACTCCAAAAGGTAAGGAGGCTGGGGGGATTACATTTAAAAAAAAAAATGTGTGTTAGTGTGTGTGTGTTTGTGTGTTAGTGTATGTGTGTGTGTGTGTGTGTCAGTATGTCTGTCTGTGTGTCAGTATGTCTGTCTGTGTGTCAGTATGTCTGTCTGTGTGTCAGTATATCTGTGTGTCAGTATATCTGTGTGTGTGTCAGTATGTGTATGTGTCAGTATGTCTGTCAGTGCGTCAGTATGTCTGTTAGTGCATGTGTATGCATGTGTCAGTATATCTGTCTGTGTGCCAGTATGTCTGTGTGTGTGTGTGTCAGTATATCAGTCTGTGTGTGTCGGTGTATGTGCCTGTGTGTGTGTGTCAGTATTTCTCAGTGTATGTGGGTGTCAGTATATCTGTCAGTGTATGTGTGTCAGTATGTTGATCAGTGTATGTGTCTGTGTGTGTGTGTCAGTATGTCGGTATATGTGTCTGTGTGTCAGTATGTCTGTATATGTGCCTGTGTCAGTATGTCTGTATATGTGCCTGTGTCAGTATGTCTGTCAGTACGTCTACCAGTGTATGTGTCTGTGTGTGTGTCAATATATGTACCTGTGTCGGTATGTCTGTCAGTGTATGTGCCTGTTTATCTGTATGTAGTCAGTGTATGTATCTGTGTATCTGCTTGTGCGTCAGAGTGTGTACCTGTGCATCTGAGCCGCAACTTTAAATACAAATACACCCCTCCATTCAAACTTCAACACTACATATAAAACACACTCCTGCATTGAAACGTCAACACTACATACAAGCACACTCCTACATTCAAAAGCAAACACTACACATAAATGCACACTTGCATTCAAACTCCAGTACCACATACAAACACATTCACACAAACATACTCCATACAAACACATGCTTACATTCAAACATACTAACATGGCTCAGTGCTAAATACAACCCTGCAAGCATGGTAAATTGGTAGAGTCCCAGCTGTCAAAGCATTGTTGGAGTTGCACGACAGATGGGGTTCTACCTTTAGTCCAACCTTGCAATTGGGGGTCCCAATAGAATTCATTCTACTTTAGTACCGCCACTGCGTTGGGATGGATGCCGTGATTGCATACCAGGGAGTGAGGGGCGAGAGCGGCAGGGCACAGGGGGCCCAAGCAAACACTTGCCCAGGTTCCATTCGTTATTAAAGACGGCCCTGTCACTGGTATAGTCACATTTTTGGTTGCCACAGTAGCTTCTTGATTTTAAGGATTCGTTTTATCTGTCTAAAACACACATTGATACATTCCATTCTAGACTAGATACTATTCTATATTGTCACATTGGATAAACAGGTCTGAATCCAGCAAGTTATTTTAATGTTCAAGGAGCATACCAGCCATGTAAATTGTGGTACAGGCGTAAGTCCAGACAAGTTCACTTTAATTAGAGGTACGCTCGGGATCATTGTCCTGTTGGAAGGTCCAATGACGCTCAAGCTTCCACAGACAGCATGACGTTTTCTTCTACGATTTCCTGATACTTCAATGAATTCATCTTGCCTTCCACATGTTGCCGGTTTTCAGTACCAGAGGATGCAAAGCAGCCCCAGAGCATCACCGAGTCTCCACCATGCTTCAGCGGGTGCTTCAATCTCCTTCCTCCAGATATACCGTTAATCCATTTGGCTAAAATGTCCCAGTTTTGTTTCATCGCTCCACAGAACAGAATCCCAAAACTACTCTGGCTTATTTATATGATTTTGACCATATTGGATATGACTTTTCTTGTGCTTTTGGGTCAGTAGTGGTATATGTCTTGGAATTCTGGCATGGAGACCTTCTGTGTTTAGTAGGCACCTTACTGTGCTCACTGAAGCACCAAGTCTTGCTGCAGGTCTTTTGCGGTCACTCAAGGTTTTTTTTTTCTTCAAAATCTGCTCTCTCAGAAATCTGGTTCATCTTTCTGCCCCGACCATGTAGTGTAACCACTGGTTCTTCAACTTTGAACTTGCCAACTATGCTTCCAATGGTGTCTCTAGGAACATTCAGTGCCTTCGCTATCTTTTTGCATCCTGTTGCTTGTTTGTAAAGGGTGATTATCTATTGTCTTAACTTTGTGGACCATTCTTTTGACTTATTTCTAACATGCAGTCCAACATGACACTAGCCAGTTCAGGTATTTCAAGTGTTCCAGCTCAACAACACCTGGTGCAACTAATGAAGCCCTTGATTAGTTGCATCAGACATGTTTGAGACAACACCTGCTTTGCATATTTGTGCTGTTGTAAGGGATTCTATTTAGGGGGGTTGAATAGTTTAGACACAGGAGAAGTCATTATAAGTTGCATTTTCAGGTGATTTGGGGAAACACATGAAGCATTTGTTGTTTTGAGCTATTTCAATTGCTCTTGATGGATTTGTTCGTTGCAAACGCAGTCTGTACATTTTGACAAAAAAAACTGATATCCAATGAGCAGTTGAAATTTTTTTGTTAAAACTGTATTTTATTTTTATTTTTTTTACTTATTGTACTTTGTACAGTTTTATTATTGAACATGTTAGTAGATATTTTGTAGGCTGCCTCTGATTTTTTTTCTAGTTCCAAAATATCCTAATGGGACACTCTACACACCAAAACAACTTAGATTATGTTCCTGCAGTCTTAATGCTCGATTCCCTGCCATGTAGGAGTTAAATTAATTTGCAGTCTTAGTCACACCTCCCCTAGCTGTGCTTTAACCCCTTAAGGAACAAGGCTGTTTTGAGCTGCAACGTGCTTGTGACCAAGTCCTTTTTGGCACATTTGCAATCATTTTACATTTTTCTACTTTCTGCTTCTGTGCGCCCATACATATTATAAATAGCATGATATAGAAATAAAATATTTTTTAAAGTGGGGAAAATTTAAAAAACAACAACTTTTTTCTCAGTTTACATGTGACGTCTGACGTCATATAGGGAAGTATCAATTACCCATTCAGTCATCCAAAACATGTACTTTGTGAGCGGGTACTGCCCTCCCATACCATGCAAGTCATTCTGCTTCAATTACAGAATGAGAGCTCAAGGCACATACAAATACAGAAGAGTTCCCAGCCTCTCTTATAAAGCAGTGATCAGAGCTTGACCGTCAGTGTTGTGTGTGTACTCACATTGTTACAACACAACTTGCACAAGTAAACTATGTTGACTTGTATGAGGTCAGCAGACTGTTCATCAGAAGCACAAATTTAATTATTAACTTAAATAAAGGACCAAAAACATGAATTTAATAATCAGAGGGAAAATAAAGCGTGTTATTTCACAAGAAGGCAGCAGTGTAACACATGCAGTGTTTCCTTTTCTTGATGCAGTTTATTCATGCAATCAAAGTGTGTGCGTTCTAATTCACTACATACCGTGGACCCATGAGTAAGGTCTGTCCACACACACTCACCTGAAGAAGGAGCAGAGGAAACAGCAGGGGGAGTTGGAGAGGTGAAACCGTCAGCAGGGGGCTGGGTTCCTGCAGCAGCGTCTGGGGTGGTTGAGGAGGAAGGGGCGGTAGCAGGAGTATGAGGGACAGGGGCGGGTGTGGCGGTAACAGGGATGGGAGGAGTGCCAGCTGAGCCAGCAGGGGCTACGTGGAAAGAGGAAGATGTGAAGTTAATACGGAAATCATGTTAGCCAGGATTAGAAATGCTTTCAGGAAGCTCAGTGTTAGGAATTTAGTAAAGAAAAAAATAGCACTGCCATCATTCACAGGTGGATGGGAATCATGCACGGGAATCGGATTCTTTATTTCAGAAAAAAATTAAAAATAGGTATGGATGTGTGAAATAAACATAAGTACACTAAGAAATCAAAGTAATCTTACAATTAAACATACGTGGGAACTTTATAGGTTTTTCAAGGATGCCCAGGTCTTACAGCCAATTGGTGTGATTTCTCTATGCAGGGAACGTTCAACCTTTTCCTCCTAAAAACTGCAAATCTATGTCTTTAGAGTCAGGACGTTCCCTTCACCACAATAAAAGGAAGATCTATGGCAAGCAAATGTATAAAATGCCCAAGTATGTAAATGAGGAACACCATGATATTGTCCTAAGACAAATAAATGTAAAGTCAAAATAATGAAAGGAAAACATTTATACATAAATAGAAAAAAAAAAAACCATGAACATTCTCTAATACCACTGCTCTCTCATTTTATGCCAGGGTTAGCAAAGCAAAACAGAAAAAAAGTTCCATCTATGCAAACATAATAAACAATCTCAAATGTATCTGCATGTATAATTCAATCAAATAACTGCACAACGCACAAAGCAATGCTCAACTGCACAACCAGAGTTACAGATTTTTACATGGTAGACACAGAGTATTAAGCAAAAATATATACACATACTATAGTAGTGAATTATGAAATACAGAAAATGGAAAAATTATACAAATATTCCATGAAATGATGAAAAAGCAAAAGCAGATGCTGATAATTATTTCAAATGCATATTTATGGATTGGTAATAAAACTATTCTGATTTTTACATTTCATGGCAATCGTATTATCATGACATAAGCTGTATTGCGTTTTTCTCTTGTCCTTACCTGGAAAGACACTTGGAGGAGATGGGGTGGGGACAGCAATTGGGACACCCACACTGCCACTGCCACTGTTCTCACGACTGCTGCTTCGACTACTGGGATGGCTGCCACCACTACTCCCACTACTACTACAAGAAGCAAATGTACAGTAAATAAAAAGCTTTATTACTTTTTTTTAATATGTAAAATGACCCACACATTTTGGCCAATACGCTTGTTAAAAAGCTACTACACATTAATCAAATTTGTTTCTTTTCTACACAGAGGAGATTTGATTCATCTAAAAATTTATTTCACATAGCCAATAACCGTCTGCTTCACGTTATTTGACCGACCACAGTTAACCGCCATTTCTATTCACCTGAACTACCTAACAATTGTATCAGCTTTACTTCTAATCCTGCTAAGAGGCATACTCTAATTCACATGAATTCAACACAAGTCTTTCATGCCGATTTCACATGAGATTCTATTTTTGGCAAGAATAAGGCACGGCTAACATCCTGACGGTTTTTGCTGTCAGCTGTAGGTGCATGCTGAAGCAGTTCGTGCATAACCCCTGCGGTTTTTGAGGCTTTGATAAAGTGCTCATAAGCATGAAATGCATTACACTGCCTTTTCCTTCCCCTCTGTTCCCAATGGCTTTGCACAACTTTTTTTTTTTTTTTTTAATTCGTTATTTGTTATTTTCTGTGCTCAATTGTACAGGAAGAGCATTTCAGGCATTTCCGGGGTTTTCAATTTTCATGTATAAAGCGGTTACACATATTTATATAACATTTGTGGTTTGTTTCAAGTTGTACAGTGAAATGCACCTTTGTGTTGTGGTCATGTTTGGGTGCAAGCCCAGGTCTGTCTGAGTGGTGGTATGCTAGTGATTGGTTTGTATTGCGTTCCCGGGGTGCTACAAGCGTGTGGTGTGGTGTACGCTCCTTTGTGGTGCAGGCGGATGCCGTGTTGCTGAGGAGCCTGTTCTCGTGTGGTCACATGTTTGTTTCTTGCTGTGTGAGCGATGCCAGGTTGTGAATATCTCCTGGGTGCAGTGTGCGGCCTGCTTGTCAGGTGTGCATATGTGTTGGTCCCAGTAGCGGTTTAGCATGCATAGTGTTGCCCCTGGCCTGGAGGGGGAGATGGGGGGGTGTTCAGGACGCCATTAGTCTTCGGGGGTCTAGGGTTTTTTTTTGTGTTCAGGGATCGTGGTTGTGTTCCTGTGTGGGATACGTCTCGTGTAAGTTTGGTGCAGCTGTAATATATGCATAAAATGACATTAACAGGATAGCTAAACAATAAAATGTGTAACATAAGGCTATATGCATGGTTGTATGAGAGTTTAGGTTGTCAACTTGTGTAACATAAGGCTATATACATGGTTGTATGAGAGTTTAGGTTGTCAACCTGGCTGGTATGGGCCGGGTAGTTTTGTGGTTGTGTCAAGGCTAGTTCATCACTGTCCCGTAGCATGTTCAGGTGCTCTGGGGTTGTTGGTTCTTCGCCGCTTGGTCGGTTGAGGTGCTGGCTGTTGTTCCCCAGGTAGTGGTTTGGGCGTCGTCTGCAGTGTGCGGTTGTTCCAGGTGAAGTCCCAGTGCGGACAAGAATGCCAGGGCCCCCATCGGGGAGGTGAGATCGTGGGTGGTCTCTGCGTGATGGACAAGTAAGGAGTCGGTGTTACCCCATATATATGGTATGTTGGCTTTGCGCAGTACAGTCGTCACTGGCCCAAAAGATTTGCGTCTGAGTAGTGTGGCCCTGGTTAGGTCTTGGAAAAACAATAGTTTGGTGTTCTCAAATTCTAGTGGCGTTTTGCCTTTCATGGCAGTCATTATTTGGATTTTGTCGTGTGTGGTAGCACATCTTAAGATAACGTCTCTGGGGCTGTCAGGTGAGATGCGGGCTGAGCTGGTTACACGGTATATTCCATCCAGTGTGCATCAGTATTGTTGACAGGAGGCGCCAGATGTAGTGCGGCAATTCTTCAGTGGTGATGGTGTTAGGTATGCCGCGGATCTTAATGTGTGTTCGGCGTTGTTGGTCTTCCAGGGACATTAATTGTGCTGCTAGGACATGTTGTTCCGTTTGCAGCTGCTGGACCGAGTCTTGCAAGGTGGTTATGGTATGGTGGACTTGTGTTATGTCCAATTCTGTGTTAGTGACTGTCTGTGATCTGTTGCATGTCCCTTTTAATCAGGGCAAAGTCAGCGGCCAAAAGTTTTTGGATGTCTGCCAAGAGCACCTTTAAGTCCCCTTTGGTGGTGGGGGCTGAATCCTCTGGTGAGACAGGGGGTATGGCTGGACCCTCCTGAGGGTTCAGTATGTTTGGGTCCCCCTTCCCTCTGTTTCTAGGGCGGGGCCATGTTTGGTGGGGGATCCGTTTGTTTTGGTGTGGCCAGCCCCAGTCCGATCAGCATTTCCCCAATGTCCCTACCTTGGGTGCTGGCTGGTATGCCTGGTGGTCACAGCTATCCCCTTGTATGCTGAAAAGTGCCTCTAGATTGAGGATTGGTGTCGCATGGTAGGCTGCGGTTTTGCGCCGCTGCCTAGGTTGCTTGGCTGCTTGAAAGAAGGGCATTGACCTGTTCGCCAGTTACTGTGGGTCAGGGTGTGTGCTTTGTTTCGGCAGATGGCCCCTCTGTCGGCAGATATTTGCAAGATTACGGGCGGCGGACCGGGAGCTGTGGAAGATGGCGTCCGTGCAGGTTAGTCGTCAGTTCCCTCCTCCCCCACCCCCCCAAGCTTTGCACAACTTTTAAACAGAAGAATGAAGGTATACATTTTTCTATTGCTTCTTGCGAGATGCTTTACCAGGTTAAAGGCAAAACTGGACTCTAAACCGTCTTTTAGTCTACTAAAAGGGAGTGGGGCTACTATTTAAGCAAATATGCTTTCTATGTAGTCCTGACCCTATAGTGTTAAAAAACACTATCTAGCCCCCCTGCTCCTCCTTACCCCCTAAATATAGTAAAGTCTTCCCTATATTACAGTCTGTTGCTGCTGGCTCAACCATGAAGAAAGTTCACTGTTTCCATGCAGAGGGTGGAGACACTGAATGTCAGTGCTGCACAGTTTGCAGCACTGCCCCAGGAAGCACCTATAGTAGCCATCTGAGAAGTGGCCACTGGAGGTATCCCTAGGCTGTAATGTAAACACTGCATTTTCTGCATGATTATACTCACCAGAACAAAGACAATAGGCTGTAGTTATTCAGGTAACTATAGTGTCCTTTTAAGATTTAGAAGACAGATATGCTAGCAGGGTTTTCAAACTTTGTTTCTTACACATATATAGAGGGGGGGAAATATCCATGACGAATGCATATCATGCCACCTCTTACAGTGTAATGTAACCAATCTATTGAGCAAAAGGAATTTTTTAAAAACATTTTTAGGAAACACATCAGGCAAAAAAAAAAAAAAGCTAACTCACAAAATAACCTGATAAATGTTTCCAATTTGTTTATTAATCCTACATAGCTGTTATTTATCACTCTTGCAAATTCGATGCTGCACAAGCCTGCTCTAAAAGCAGTTACTCTACCTTGGTGTAGAAGTAGCAATGATTGCAACCTTAGTTGCTAAATATTTCCTCAAAGCAATGAATTCATAGGCATTCCTCATTATGAACAAACTGTGGCCATATGTGTTTAATCTACAACCAAACCTTGTGCACGTAACCCTTCCTTACATATATCTCAACCCTGGACACACTGAATCCATTTTTTGCAAGAAACATACTTAATTTTATAGAGGAACCATATATTACATACTCCAGTCTTTATCATTAATCAATGATAAGAGAAAATGTGGATGCAGCACCTATTTATATGTTTTCAAAAATCCAGAATTTCACTCATGCAGAACAAATAATGCATTGCCCAATGTACACCTGACTCCTCTCTGGAATTTCTGCCTTTCTCAGTCTTTGTGACATGTTTTATAAGGTAAAAACTAAGGAAATATTAAATATGTTCCCCTCCCCAAAAAAAAAAAAAAAGATTGCACAATGACATCTTGAAAACTTGCTGAACTGCAGTGGTTTTTCCAAAACCAAGTAGTAAAAAACTCTAAACTAAGATATTAGCCAGCGGATTAAGTACAGCTCTACCAACCCATCTTAATCTAGATCAGATAAACTTCACACTAACAGGGCACCAAAATAATTACTTGATGCATTAGTAATAGCATTTATTAGCTAATTGATACTCAAATAGCGATCATATTTGTAGCTTTAATGTTAATTCCAAATTTGTATGAGTTTATAAGGCTTTATTCAAATGTCATCAGCACAGCAACAAAATACTACAAATAAAGTACATTATAAATTGCTATATAACATTTGGGTCTGAGCTTACAGATTGTACAGTGATTAGCCATTTTGAAGGTGGAGTATTCCAGTAGGTGGGTCTTTTAACCAATTAATTATAGGGTTTATAATGCTCATAATATCACAACCATTAAAAAAAACAACCTATTAATTGCAATACAGCAAGTCTGCAATTAGAGCAAGTCTTCGAGATCCTGTCACAGTTTACCAGTTAACTAGTACTCTGAGCCCTCTGTAACTCTTTCTGGAGGTGTGGCAATAGCTTCTTGAATGTCTCAAGTCCCTACAATACCCGTGGATTTGATGGTTTCTGGTCAAGCAACAACACTACACTGACAAATGTGATCAGTCTACCTCTATTAAAGACTGGCACTTGTTGAGTGTCTTCAATACAAATTTCGTTTGCTCCACTGCAAACATCTAATAATACTGGAAAACACAAATTTTACTTTGTTCTTCAGGAGCTCCTATCTTACAAAAGGGGTATGACATTCTTCATATTTTCTGTGATTACTTTCTGAAAAAGTGAAAGTATATGTCATACATGAGCTCATGAGAACTTGGGAGAATTATATAAATTTACAAGGCACACATTTAAAGGGATCCTATAGTGTCAGGAAAACAAAGTAGTTTTCCTGGCACTATAGGGTTAATAGGTCCCCCCTTCCTTGCGCCCAACCCCCCTCCCGCAGGGCTGAGGGGGTTAAAACCCCTTTAGCCACTTACCTAAATCCAGCACCAATGTCCCTCAGCGCTGGGTCAGTCTCCGCCCACGCTCCTCCCACTCCGACATCAGCCAACGGGGGAGACCTAATGCGCATGCGCGCCAATGGCTGTGCACACATTAGACCTCCCCATAGGAAAGCATTATTCTATGCTTTCCTATGGGGAAAATCTGACGCTGAAAGTCCATGAGGACGTCCAGTGTCAGATAACAGACCAAAAGTCCATTTCGATTCCGGAAGCGCTACCAGTGGCTGTCTGGTAGACAGCCACAGAGGGCAGACTTAGAGCTGCAATGTAAACATTGCAGTTCTCTGGAACTGCACTGTTTTACATTACAGCACTCCGTGCAAAAGGGTCACAGCACCCAGACTACTTCAATTAGCTCAAGTGGTCTGGGTGCCTACAGTGTCCCTTTAAAGGGACACCGTAGGCACTGTATCTGCTTCATCTCATTAAGCTAGTTATAGTGTATGGAGTCCCCTGGTGCCATCATTTCTTTCATCATTAAACAGTTTTTAATGTTGTATTGTTTTAATGCTAAACAAGAGACCACGGCAGTCCATCCCATCTGTACTGCTTTGGCTAATAAGGAAGTATTACCCTGAGCAGCAATGGGCAGCAGTGATTGGCCGAGAGTGTCAGCTGACTGCTTTTAACCTGTCAGAGTTCCAACTGACGGTATGAATGGGTATGACAACAAGGAAGTGTGTAATCTCTGCCTTAGCTACACATACAGAAGGGGCCGGACTGTGGGTGGCCAGGGACTCTTATTTTGTGGCATACTGCACAAACATGGTGCAACACTGAATGGAGGGACAGTGCCAGGGCACTCCAGGCACTATAACCAATTCAAAGAGACAAAGTGGTTATAGTGACTACAGTGTCCCTTTAACTAGATTACCTAAACAACTTTATAACTCAAGAATACTTTCTCCAAATTGCGGTTCTGAAGCTTCACTCATTCATCAGTTTGAATATGACCTGCTAAGGTCACTTTTAGCTTGCAGTAGAATCTGGGTTCTAATGCCAAAAAATACTACTAATACTACTGGGCAGGAAAACCAGCTGAAGATCATTTGAGGAACAATGATCAAGCAGGCTTCTATTGGATAACAAATGAAAACTATGAGCATCTTAGAGAGAGCCCTGAGAACTGCCATTTGCAACTCAATATACTCTATGTACGAAGCAAAGCTAATGCAAATTGTGTCATGCAGATTTCCAGGGTTATTCACTGAACTGAGCGTTGCTGGGAATTCAAAGTGAATTTTTAATTTAAGGTCAAAATAGCTGACATGGCTATATAATGGCCAATAATTCTTACTGTGATGAATAACCCTGTTAATATCTGGGATCTTATCACATGCAAATAAAATCTAAATCTTGATTAAGTGATTAAAACGTCAACTAACGGGGCTCTTCACTAAAGTAAGAATACAAAGTAAATTTCAAATCGAAGGCCAGAGCAGCCAAACAAAGCCTAACTAAATTAGAGGATGTTCCCAGTTCAACTATTTTCAAATTGAATTGTGAAATTCCTTTTGCATTCACCTTAGTGAATAACTCTAGAATTTACATGGAATAACAGAGGTTTAAAGGATAACATTGAATGAAGTTCTTTCAAGCTATTTATGCCACAAACTGGCTTCCACTTCATATTTGATTAAACAAAAACCAAAAGTTTAAAGGGTGACTCCAACCATCATGACTTCTTCTGCATTTAGAAGTGGTCATGGTGGTAACAATATGTGTGTGCAGCATTTCTGCGTGAAACACTGCACATATAGAGATATTTACACATTTGTGCCAGGGGCAAGTTACACCCCTGGCACACGTAACTTTGGGAGTTCTAATGTTAAATACGTACAGAATTTCCATCTGTTGTCAGAGCACTGGTAACTGATGTAATGAGCTCCTATGCGCGCATGCACTCTGAGCCTGGCGATCTCTAGGAGAAGCATTTGACTGCACAATGGAGAGAGGCGTAATGAGGCATGATGTCGGGATGGGGCATGGAAGAACCTCTGCCAATAACTAGTTATTGGTAAGTTTATTATTTTAAGTTCTTAAATTAGTAAAGGGGGGGGGTGGACAAGTCACTAATGCCAAATAGGGAATTATAAAATTACAAAACATTAAGATTCAAAAGAGGTTGGAGGAGCCCTTTTTCTCTGGGGTAGAAGAATGATTATAGGCAAATTACCGTTTTTAGAAAGGGGCTGCTTCTCTGTGGTTGAATATTTAAGGATGTAAGTTTGCAATCTCATTAAATAAAACACAGAGAGTGTTTAAAATATCCTCAAATATTAAAATACTTCAATTTGGTTAATATGCCTTGATATTGGATGCATGATAGCAAAATAGCCATTTTTTGTGAATTGGTGCTACTTAAATTTACAGAACACAAATAATCCCATTTCCAACTGGGGTTCCATTTTCTTTATGGTATTAATAGGCAGCATACACACAGCTACAAAGCTTAAAGCTGCGCTGTCACTTTTCAATATTTCACAAAGATATAATCTTTAAGAAATATTGATCCTTCCAGCATCCAATGCAATCCAAACCACAAAGTAGGGCCCTGCTTTGTCTCATGGTAAATCTGAGGTTGACAAAAGACGTAGCTTCACCACCAACCTTTATCCGACACCTGCAGCCATAGAAATCAATCAGTGGAAACTCCAGCAATCTCCTCCCTAAATCTCAGTGTTGCACTCTCACGCATGCACGTTAAGTACAGCACTGACACCTGGCAGATTAAGTTCCATGAGTGGAAGAGGATGCGCAGAACAAAGATGGCAGCAGCTTCAAGCTTCAAGCAGGTACAATTACCTTTTCCTGCATCCTGTGGCCACCAGACCCTCACCGGACATGTCACTTTCAGGGGTCTTTGCAAAGTATACACTCTCCTTTCCTTTTTGACTGATTTTTCTTTAGTAGTTTCTGAATAATGTAGGACATTTTCATGTACCTGCATTTGAAGTGCTTCTATTGCTCATTGTACAGAATGTCACTTCCTATAGGTAATCCTTTTATATGACATCATTGAGAAATTAATTTTCTCAGCTGTACGTGTTAACAACACAGGCAGGTTATGATTATTTGCTGATTCGTGTAATTTTTGTTTCCTTTTTAAGCAACAGGTACGGGGAGAGCAGAATATCTAGACCACTCCAAACCAGTACAGGATTTAAGGATTACCCAATTGTGTCAAGGTGTTTTTTTGTCTTCTTCTAAAAACACCTTAGACACAAATGGGTAATCCCTAAATCCTGGACTGATAGGCGTGCCTTGAGGACTGGTTTGGAAACCACTGATCTAGACAGTAAATAAGTGACCTTTATGAATAAAAGCTACGGGCAGACAGTTTTTTTGATTTCTCCATGTTAGAAAGACCTTTTTAGAGAAATATGTGCCTTAAATTGCTGTAGACGCAGCACTGAGCCCACCAATATTTTCATCTAGAGGACCTATGACGACTTTCCTTTGGCTTCTATTCATTTTTATCTCTGAGTGCAAAAATAAACACTTATTAAATAAAGCACCCTGTCCAATTCAGTGTTTTGAAGTGGTCAAGGTGCCCGGAATCTGCATGTGTAGCATTTTGTTGCATATACAGAGTTAACCCATCTGCTGCCGTAGGTGTAACTCCACCTCTGGCCATATTATTAGGGCATCATAAACCCTTGCAGATTATGGGGAGAACATTTCTGAATGCAGATTTCTATAGGAGATTGCAGAACAATAACCTACTGACTACTTCTCATGCATGGAATAAGTAACTGAACGAGAGGAATATTGCTTTTTAAATCATAATTTTGAGCACTAGTAAAGATTAAAGAGAACCCAAAAGCAAATTGGAAAGGTTTAATTTGAAGTCTTCTAGATGGTAAGCTTGTTTGGGCAAGGCCATCTTCACCCACTGTTACCTTACATTAAACATGTTTTGTTAGAATCGTTTGTCTTGTTTTAACAATTTTACAGCGCTGCGGGATATGATGGGACTATCCAAATAAGGGTAACTAGTACGGCGGTCACTTTGATCCCTTAATTTTTCTCTCTTGTCCCCACAATCATACACTAGTGCAAACAGAGTTTTGGTGATCAATGGAACTATGTAATTTGTACCTTAAACAGTGACACAATGCATCCTGCCACAAATTTGTACTAATATCTCATTCTGGTCTGAGATTATGTACTACAAAATGCCATCACAATGCAAGGAAAATAAATGTGTGCCAACTTTATTAGATCAATGTACTATTGAAATCACAACTGCATTCCAATATAGCACCTGGCAGTGCGATATGCATCAACATAAAGAGTTTGAAGAAAGCAAAACAAAACTGAAATATATTTACGCATATCTTGACAACCTCTTTTATGCTAATACTGTAGATCAATAATAGGAACTTGTTTCACTTTTGATCAACATGCTGACTGCCTGTCAAACAGCAAACAAACAAAACGAACAAGGAACTCAACAGTATACACAACATACCAAAACTACATGCTCAATAATCATAGACAAAGACCAGTTCAAAAACAAGTCAGACTAAAGCACTTAGGTTTTTCTTTTCGACAAAGGTAAAAATCTTGAAGAGATTTCATACAAAAGAAACTTAAAATAAAGCCACAATAAACGCCACATAAGCACAGGCAGTGGCCTTTAATTCCTGATGCTCTGTAGTAGTGAAGGAGTTTTTGAACAAAAAAATGCTTATACCAGTTAAGCCCATTTTATTAAAAAAATAAATTCGAAAAAAGCAAGGCAACCGGTGGCTAGGCCAAAATGTGGCTAAGCAATTAAATTAACTTGGTAATAACCCAATTGAACCTTTGCGCATGTTGTCTAACTACAATAATAGATTAATTCTAGTTGCTTAGTATATGTTACAAAGGAACATATTCTATTTAAACTTTTTTTAAATTTTGAATACATATTTCATAGGGGAGAGGTTTTTTTGGTCAAACTGATAATCTTGCATTATATGTAGATTGTTTAATTGCACTTTGAATTAAAATGTCAATGGTTTTGATAATGCACTCCTGCCAGTTTTAAAATGTCTTATTTTGTCTCTATTACAGGATTATGTAAATCACAGTTTGGCATATATGCCAAAAGATATACCTGTATGTGCGGTTCCTCTGGTTGACTGAAGCTGTTCTAACAGGGCTCTGTTGCTGTGAGGGAGCCGTGTTACGTGTGGGGCTGGGTACATAGTCATTGGGTACCACAGGGGGGCGCACAGGCTCCAGTGTGCGATAGGGTGAGTGTCGCCTTCAAGAAGAAAAATAAAAGGAAAAAAAACAAAAGAAAATAAAAGAAAAATGAACTTCCAAGTGAAAGCCCAAAACCTGGGACTTTAGGTCAAAATCTTCCTGAAGACGTAAAACCCAGTGTTTTCCTTTAGTGCTGGATTTAATTTGCATTATTTTAGCATCTGTTTTAGTATGCTGGAAACCCCAATGGAAAAAAAAGACATTACAGGAACCATTTACTGTTTGAAATATTTCAACCCCTTCACTGCTAAACAGCTCTCAGAGCATAGGTTGAGAACTCAGGCAACCGTTATGTTTGGATGTTTAGAAACAAAAAGCAATGAGAAGAAAGTATCTGCAAATATCTGAAGAGATGTACATTCTAAATAACATACGAGTGATGGACAGCTCATATTAACACTTTTACTATGCAAGTATGACTAAGCCACCTTGAGAGCCGTCATACAACAGCTACCATGTCAAACATTAGCCATCTCTAACAGAACTTTTCTTAACGTTAGAATAATAATACTTTTATGAAATACGATGCACAGTTCATCAGTACTTTATGGCAGCTAAGAAGGAGATGAGGGATTTTTTTTTTCTATAATGTCTTAGGCTTTCAGGTTTAATTCCTCACGCTTTACCAATGTCCAATTGTCGTTCTGCTACGAAACATGAATGTATTTACTATTCACTGGCTTTTGATTACTTGTTGGTAAAACACATTTCCATAGACGATAAGCTGCTTTTGTTACAAATAAACTAAAAGCTACATCACTTATAGTTATTAAGCAATGATAAATATTGTTTTAAGAACATTAATGGCATTCTTTACGAGGACACAGAATGGAGATGGACACTTGGGGGCTTTATGGAGAAACAAAGTGACTGTTCTGCAATGCTCAATCCGTTCTTGGGTAAGATAATAGCAAACTGTTGATTCATTTAAAGAAAAAGAGACAAGCAGATACTTTCATCTCAGCTTTTACACACAGAACAGTGAATGGCTAAAATAAAAACAGTCATGCAAGTGAAACATGTCTTAGTACACAGATAATTCTATAAACATAAAAGACAGTGGCTTTCAAACCTTTTTCGAAATCTATTTAAAAGATAAAAAAAATTTAGCCTGAGAATCAGTAGCATACTGCTTAAAAGAGATGGCAGTTTCAATTAAAGTGTTATTTTTTCCATATTGTTTCACAAGATCTATTTAAGGAGAGAAAAATACTTCAAAGCAAAACATTTTTTTTTTTTTTTTAAATCAGCCAACAGGTTGAAAACCACTGGTGTAGTTAAAGAAAAACCACATAGTATGTCTCTGGCATTAGCCTTACGCGCACGCATTCAGACTATTTGATAGGTGTTCAGATTGTGGTGTTAAAGATCTCACGTTTCTTTTGCACTGTAAAACTCACCCAAGTGTTCCTTTGCCAGTCATTGGTGGGCTTGGTGGTTTCTGTGTAGGTGGTGTGGTACGTGGCAGGCCCCCCATCTTCATGTTCTGTGTACTGACCTGGATTGAGGGAAATGGTAACATGGAGCAAAAGTCTACTTGGAAATGTCAAAATATTTTTTAATTTTTTTTGAACACTAAGGGGCCTATTCACTAAAAAGTAAACTGCAGTGAATCGAACGCAGAATGTCAAAATTATAGCTCAACTGTGACTACAATTCACTGATTAGCAAATAAACCTTCAAAAACAGCTCAATGTCACAGGCTATTACTGGAAAAGAAAAGGCAGACAATCATGCATATAAAAAAAACAAGTAACATTTCAGAGATTCTGTACATCTTCAGATAACGGACCATCAATGTAAGCTATTCAACCCATAACACAATTAATTTTGGTTATATTTCATCAGCATAAAAACTCCACGTTCACATTTATTTGAAACAGTTTATGTTGACAGAATTGTACAACTGGCACAGAACCTGGTAAACCCAAAGTCATTTTCATACTAAGAGCGTAACAATCAATGTTTTGAAATTTAAATGTTTGATTAAAAAAATAATAATAGCAAGACCAGAATACCAAGTTGATTTATATTTGGCAGGTCATGATAAATAATGTAAAATGAGAAGGAATGTACATGATAATTACAAAATGAAATAGATTTCAATAAACAGAGATGTGCATTTATTGTGAAAACGATAAATGAAGCCAGGAACCAAGTTCATAGAAATCAGCAAGGAATGAGAGCACTTCTGATGGATTTATTGCTTACCTACAGGGCATCCTTTGAAAACTATTTTAACTCAATCGCACCAGAATTTCAAGGGAAGGAGGGGCTACTCATTGAAACCTATACGTTTTCAGATTCTGCCCAATGTACCAGGGAAGGATACAAGGGATGGGGGCATTTGGTTTCCCCCAATTAATTATAGGTATGTGGAACACACATTTGACTGCCTTTTAATGGAAGGGCCATTTGCAATCATCTCTTCTTTAATCTTCTTTTGCTTTTCCAGGGGATTCAAGGCAATCTCCCTCAAGTTCTATTTAGAATTTTAAAGCAAACAAATTAATTTTAAAAGGATTTGTGTACTTGTACGTGTTTGATTTCGGTACACTCTTGGGTGCTGCACTGAAAAGCGCTAATTTACAGTTCCCAACGTTGCGTCTGCATAGTTAAAGCTTACGGTTATGGTAGAAGATGCCACTAGGGACAATTGTTTTTTTGAAATTGCTTTACCTTGGCTGTTGGTTCTACCAAGTGCTATTTAAGGAGTTGTTCAATTTCTACTGCACATTTGTACACCCCCGATATATCTCAGCGCCTCCGTAACTATAGGAGTTACATTCCTAACTAGTACTGGGGAGAGGAAGGGATTAAAATATGAACACCCAGCAATTAATGAAAACTTAGCACATGTTTTAACACATCAAATACATCCCTCTCCCGTCCCTCCACCTGAGATTATTAATGAACAAATTGTAAGGCGCTAGCAACTCAGTCCCTCAGATGCAAGGCTCAGTGATCTATTCAGTTTAAAAAGATTTTAAAAAAAACCACTGGCTATATGATGACCGAAAACAGCAATTTCTTTCCAATTAGCTTTATAACTCAGCCCTTGGGTAGACATGCACGCTCATAGTAGTACACATTGCAGTTTTTACTTTAATTACAGATTCTTCTAATTCCCATGCATTCTATTTTAATATACCCAACCATATTAGGTCTAGACAGACAGGCAAAAACCTACAATCTGCACTTTATAATGAGTCTGTGGTTATATGGTGAACGGATGGCAGCTTTTAGCAAGCAAACCTATTCCTAGCCAACTTGGGTTTCTTACCTCCAAAGACACAAAATTACCTTTTGCAGTTATTCTTTATAGCTGCCGTATGGCATATCTATATACAGCATACTGAACCAATTTGGAAAATACACTACCCCCCTCCAAAAAATAATGTCAAATTCTTTCTTTTGCACATCAAATGAAACAAATAGTAACTCAAATTTAAAAAGACCAACGGTTGTGTTATCTATGAAGGAGTGCAATAGTAATATACATTTTATAGAGCATGATTAACCCTCATGAACTTTAATAGATACTGGCCAAATGCTAATTAGTATAAGGCTACTCATTACGGCTCCAGAGAGAGAGTATATCTTGTTTATTTAATATTAACAGTGACTGCTGCTGCTAAATCATTTTTAAACATACATACACTATCTTGTTTATTCACTTCCTATAAATACCTCTCGCTGCCTGTAGGTTAATATACAATAGGATTATACATACATAAAACAAGTGGAGCTTTTAAACATCAGCAGGCTTTCTGTGAAAATAAAATACAAACAGAAAATAGTGCAATATGTCTGTAACACACTATATCGAAAATAGATTGGAAGATATGTCAAACTCACAAGCCTGGAGTCATACCCTCATATGACTCTGGTGGTATAAGCTTCTGGACCATTTGGGGGTTGTCCAGACCCTTCTTTGGCAGCGTGTTAAATGTTGATTGGTTCCTTTTGTGCCCTTCCAACTTGTTTCAAAATAGGGATAAATACCCAGTGTGTCAGGGTTCTTTAAAAAACTATTTATTCCAAAAAATTGTACAAACAAGATATATATAGTAAAAAAGAATACTTATCCCAGGTAGTACTGGGTAGACTTAATAGTCCCAAGTTCAAAGTGATAGTCCAAAACGCGTTTCGCCTTTTCATAAGGCTTCCTCAGTTGGCTGTTCTATTTTCCGTCTGTTCTAGTGGCTTTTTAAATGCCTCGTTTGCCGGTTTCACTAATTCCGTCTTTTACTTCCGGGTTTCGTCACTTCCGGTTTGCGTCTTTTTGGAACGCACCGTGCGTTCCAACATCAGTTTCGTCATCGGACTTCCTTGTGTGTATAATTCAACAAGCTTTATTGGCATAAGGAAGTGTCCCATGCATGCGAAATGATTACATAGGGACCACTAAGCAGAAAAGTGTGCATGTCTGCATAAAAGATCACCTTACCTGCCACTCCAAAGGAGTAATTTACGTTCTAAAATGTCCCTGCAACCTCCTTTACATAGGTCGCACAATTCGAAGCCTTAACATTAGAGTGGCGGAACATATAAGAAACATCAAAAATGGAGTGGAGTCACACAGTGTCTCCAATCACTTCAGACTTGCACACCAAAAAAACCCTGGAGGAATGTTTTTTAGTGCAATTAAACAAGTAGCAAAAGATTGGAGAGGAGGGGACTATATTAGGAAGATAGGGAAGGAAGAAATGAAATTTATTTTTAATTTTAATACCATGATACCGTATGGATTAAACAAAGATTTTGAATTATGCCACTTTATGAATTAATATGCATTTTTAGTATACTCTTCTTTTATGTGGATTTTAGTATCCATTATGTTTTTACCTCCCCTTTTTTTTATGTATTTAGCTTTTAGTCTATCCAGCTTGTTCACTTACTGTATAATATTAAGTATCACCTTTTACCATTCACTTTTATTATTATATTATATGTATGAGCCCACACGGCACGAACTTTATGCAGACATGCACACTTTTCTGCTTAGTGGTCCCTATGTAATCATTTCGCATGCATGGGACACTTCCTTATGCCAATAAAGCTTGTTGAATTATACACACAAGGAAGTCCGATGACGAAACTGATGTTGGAACGCACGGTGCGTTCCAAAAAGACGCAAACCGGAAGTGACGAAACCCGGAAGTAAAAGACGGAACTAGTGAAACCGGCAAACGAGGCATTTAAAAAGCCACTAGAACAGACGGAAAATAGAACAGCCAACTGAGGAAGCCTTATGAAAAGGCGAAACGCGATTTGGACTATCACTTTGAACTTGGGACTATTAAGTCTACCCAGTACTACCTGGGATAAGTATTCTTTTTTACTATATATATCTTGTTTGTACAATTTTTTGGAATAAATTGTTTTTTAAAGAACCCTGACACACTGGGTATTTATCCCTATTTTGAAACAAGTTGGAAGGGCACAAAAGGAACCAATCAACATTTAACACGCTGCCAAAGAAGGGTCTGGACAACCCCCAAATGGTCCAGAAGCTTATACCACCAGAGTCATATGAGGGTATGACTCCAGGCTTGTGAGTTTGACATATCTTCCAATCTATTTTCAATATAGTGTGTTACAGACATATTGCACTATTTTCTGTTTGTATTTTATTTTCACAGAAAGCCTGCTGATGTTTAAAAGCTCCACTTGTTTTATGTATGTATAATTCTATGTTTTAAGTGGTGTAGGGGATACCACTTTACAGGTGTTTTTCGAGCTAGTGCATTACATTCACTTCCACGTTGTGCATACTTTTTGTTGTATAATATACAATAGGGAAATCTACCTTTCATTACACTAAAATCAATCTTTCTTTCTCATTAAAGAGACACCCCTCTAAAAATAAATTGGTATTTCATAGATAGAATCCTTATGAAATAGTCATATTGACGGTGTTGGAATTTCACAGAAATTTTAACCCAGTCAAGAGACACACACGTATAGTATGGACTACTTTATCTCTGTATATTTTCTACACCTGACACTTCTAGACACTGGGCGGAGCTACCACTGTATAGAAGTGTAAATCCACTCCAACCATCACGAGTAACGACTGCAGGGTATTGGCTTTATCTATGGAGGATTCTGCAGTTTCGTTGGATCCACCATAGACCTTTACCCCCAACCTTTGCCCCCCACCCCCTGGATCCCTTAACAGTGATGTCATCACCAGGGGTTTTTGCAAATTCTGCAATTTAAGAGGTTTGGATACAGCAGATACTTTCAAATGTGAGGCAAGAAAAGCATTAAGTTCTCAGGGTAAGTGCGCATTAAATAATTTTTACCAGCTTTCGGTGAACAGGAATTACAAAAATATTTCACCTTCACAATCGCACTCCTGGGACTTTGAAGTAGTAAAATTTAGCTTTTATTTATTCCATATAAAATATCAGCGTTTCAGCTTCAACACGGAGCTTTCATCAGGACAGAGAGATTGGGGGAGGGAGGCTGTCCCGAACACTTGTCATTACAAAATTCTGTTAGTCCAATAAAAAAATAATTTTATCTGTTTTTTTACATATACACGGTATATATATATATATATATATATAATGTGTGTGTGTGATTACACATGGTTAGATTAAACCATACCTTGTGATTATCACATCCTGTTAAAGAAAGACTATATAATTAGAGAAAAACATTGCCGTATGACTAGCTGTTGAAAGTGCATTATCCTTTACGAAGAGACAGAGTGGGGACAGTGACCCATTTTTGCATATATATCTATCCGTGACATGCCTTGTGTAACAGAAATAGAAGAAAACATAGCCCTTGGAAGTCTTACCTTGAATCTAAGCAACCACTTAATGCATAAATGAAATAAAAGAAAAAGGTTAGAGAACGTATATTAAAAGATTAGTTACTGTCAAGAAATTATAAGAGAACAATAAGACATTTTGCTGTAAGCATATCATGTACAAAGCTAAATCATGGTCCAAAGCACAAACTGATGGACTTCAATCAAAACTGCACTGGGAAAATTTATCAGTAGTTAATTGAATTAAATTTGAATTGGTAGAGAGATTCAAGATGATATGTTACACCTGATGAAACACATAAGATTTCTCCGCATTGATAAACTATGTCTCTGAAACCTCAAACATTTCAAAGTTTCCATAAGTTAACGGTTACTTGTGACTGTTAACTTTGCCAATGCCCCCTCCCTAAGATTGAGAAATACTAATTCCCATGCAAGTAAGTAATAATGCTCAGCAAAGGAAGACTGATCATCATGTAAATCTTTAATTAAAACAGTGTCCCTATAATAAATACATTCATAAAGGCCATGTAGAGAGATAAAACAGAAGTCACAGTTTCTCAATTACCTACCACATAAAACATTACTGAATCATTTAATGGGGTTAAGCAGTGCGGCTGAGGTAAGTAAAAACTATTCTGTACTTCCCTTCAATGCACATCCCAGAGCAGATAACATTGTCACACCATGATGTTCTGAGGGAGCACTTATACACACTCAGGCATCTACCTAGGAACTCTAGCCAAATCTTGATGTTTTTATAGCGAACCAAAGTCTCAATTTCAGATCTGCAAACCAACCTACAATGAACCTATTATAGTGACCTAAACAGCTGCTAGGGGTTCCAAAGAGTTTTGAAGTCTGAAGATCACAATAGTTCTATTTGGATTTGAAAATATTTCAGTAAGGGTTGGGAATGGTGATGTAGCTCTTCCGCCAATTGCTGCATCATTAGCATTCTTCCACATAAAAAAAAAAATTGTACTAATTAGATCAAGGGATCTTCCAGAAATGTTCTTGTATGGGCATCGGTTGCATTTTGTCGTAATGGACAGCTAATGAGTACAGCCAGCACAAACTCCTATGTAACATCTTGCAAAAATCTCACAAACTAGCCTTTTTTTTAACTGCACCAAAGTTCCAAAAGAGTTTATAATTTTTTTTTTCCATAAAAACCTCTACCATTATGAATACAGCAGTACCGCTTTAAGCATCTACCACTAACTAGCTGGAAAACAGTTATGTAACAAATGTAATATGTTCATCACAAAAAAAAAAAAAAAAATGAAAATACAAATAATCACATTCTGGACTACCACTTACCTTCACTCCATGCCCAGTGTCATCAAGAATTGTATAGTCAATCGGTTTCCGAATGTAACGCACTGGACGTTCTAAATTTGCTGGCGCAATTATTTTGTGTGTTCTGGATGTGTTCTTGTTAGTTGTCAAAATTCCAATTTCTCTTCTAGCAACTTTTTCTTTGTGGATGTCCACAGTCTACAAATCACAACATTTGCAAGATAAACAGTGGGCATTCATAAAACAAAAGGAGGAGGGAAAAAATAAGATTTTATCTATACTGCACTCAAAGTATACATTTTAAATGCTTAGAAATATCCATGATTTTTCAAGGAAGAAAATATTGATTTATTGAAAGGTTTTGAAAACTGCAGTTGCTAACAAACGAATGGTCTAATGCAGGTTAACATGCAGTTCAAAAGATGTGTAAAATCATTTCAGCTCCACACGCACAGAATTTTTAAAAGCCACGTTTTTTTCATTGCTTTATTTTTATCAGGGCTTACTCTAGCAATATATATTATTTTATTTTAAAAGCAAATACATTTTGTTTTCTTCCTAGTTAGAGATATAAAGCAAGTCAGTATATAAACAAGTGCAAGTTCAGTAAGATGATAAACTTGTACAATTATCAGTTCCTGCATATAGTCAATGTAAAGATACATTGATGTTGTGGCAGGCTTATGCAATGTATGATCATATAATGTAACTAAATCCCCATAGTTTTTTGCTTAGATTAGGTGTTTTTAATAAAACTTCTGGCGGCACCAAAGTAGCTGTTTAGTAGATAGGGAGTGCGCTGGTTTCTCATTTTTCACTGTATGTATTTGCCCCCCCTCCAGAAGCACCCCATTTAAGCATGTTAGGTTGAGTGCAATAAACCCCTTGTTTTTTCATATAATATATATAGGAGTCTAGCCAGCTCCCTGGTTCTGCACCCCTCCCTGTCACAGGTGCCTCATCCCAGGATCCTATTTGGCCTTGTACTGCAGAGAACTCAAGAGGATTTTGCCAAGTGAGTAGCTCATTTAGCAGACATTAGGCAGTTAAAGTAGGGCCTGCCAAATATAGGGTACATTGACATTGTGGCAGGCTTATGCAATGTATGATCGTATAATGTAACTAAATCCCCATAGTTTAATAAAACTTACAAAATCTGGCAGCACCAAAGTAGATAGAGAGTGCACCAATTTCTCATTTTTTACTGAATGTATTTGCCCCCCCCAGCAGCACACCATTTAAACATGGTAGGTTGAGTGCAATGAACCCATTGTTTTTTCATATAATGTAAAGATAAGGTCTGATAATTACTATTGTGGAGAAAAATGGGAGAAGGAGTTGAAGAAACAGTGTGAGGCACGACGTCACAGGCATATACCAGTACTAAAGAAACATGACTTTTGTGAATAGTAGAACAAGAAATCTACAGTTGAACAGTAGATGTTTTGTCTCCAAATAATAAATCACAGGGCCGCCTTTAATATTCATTAAACCATCGGCAAGCATTTGCTTGGGCCCCCTGGACTCTGCCCTCCCATTATGTTTCATGACTGTGTGTGTGTGTGTTTGATGGCTGTCTTCAGTGGGTGACTGTGACAGGGTGGGTAAAGAGGTAATTGTAGCAAGGTGATTGTGACAGGGCCAGAGGGGTAAATGACAGTGTGACAGGCTTGGAGGAGGCAAGTGTGATACGATTATGGGGGTTAATCTGACACTGTGTAGCATTGTTAGAGGAGAAAGTGTAAGAGTGAGGGGAGGTGAGCATGACATGGTGAGTGTGGCATAGTTGGGGAGGGAGAGTATGACAAAATTGGAGGGGTTAATGTGATCGGGTGAGTGTGATAGAGCGACGGGGAGTGAGACAGGATTATGGGAATTAATGTGATAGGGTGAGTGTGGCAGAGCTATCGGAGGTGAGAGTGTGGCATGAGTATGACCGGATTTGGGGAGTTAATGTGAGTGTAGCAGTGTGAACGGGGTGACCGTCTTTGTGTGGGGGCGTGAATACACTGGCACACATGCAAATACACAGATACACTCACTGGCACACATACAGATATACTCACTGACAAATTACACAGACACATACAACACATGTACAGATACATACATGGACAGACATGCAGATACACCGAATGAAGCTCATACAGCATCAAACACTGACACACAGAGGCACACCCTGACACACATGCAGATAAACAGATACACATACAAACAATCAGATGAATACACAGACACACAGTTAAATACACAGACACACATATAAATAGATAAATACACAAATAGACAAACAGGGGCCTGATCACACTGTTAAAGGGCCGCAGCGCTTACCGGTCCCTGAATACACATTGCCATTGGGTGGCCCTAAGAGCATAGGCCATCCAATTGGCACCTTTAGCGCATGCCGAGTAGCCCCGCACCAATAGATCCGCGCGGGCCACAACGTTGTCTGGTGGCATTTGCAGGCTCAAGGAGCCCCCCAGGAATAACTGAGCCCAGGGTAGCTGCCCCTTTTGCCCTGCGTTAAAGACAGCTATGATAAAAGGCACGCAGGGACAACGGGAAGGAGGGTATAGTTTTATTATTTGCAGTTAATTTATAAATTTAGTCAATGGACTGAGCAAACTCTTTGCACCATGCTTTTTTTTCTTAAAGTAAAACTGAGCGAAGATGCTCAACCCTCCTCACCTGTGATATATGATTGATCGAGGACTCCATTCTGCGTAGCTGTGAAGCCTGAATATCCAGCATTTGAAGGACATTGTTGGCTAAAGTGTTGATCAAGTATGCCACACTGGCTAAGGACTGTGTTGTGTAGGCTTTGGTTTCTTCAAGGGCTCTCTGCTTATCTGCAGACTGGAAAAAAACAGAATTGGAAAATAGTTGGTGTGTGTAAAATTTAGGACTTCACTAAAGACAAACCCTCTTGGGCATCAGACCAAAATGTTTAAAGGGATGCTCCATTGCCCAAATATAAAATAAATTCAAAATCACTGTTTAGTAGACATACTCTAAATGAGCATTTAATTATGCATTTTTTCAATAGCGGTATATCCAAAAATAGCTTGAAACGGCTGCATTTCTCTTGTCTGCTTCCTTTGCAAGCCCTCCTATTCTTCCTAAGCCCAGACTTTCTGTGGCTGTCCAACCACAGACTTCCCAGTGCAACTCAATGATAAGTCTTTGCAAAGCAGGTGATCTAGGCAATTGCTGCCTCTTGACTTTAGTTCCACTGAGCTAACCAACTAGTAAGAGGGCCAGTTGTGTGAGAGACAGCCAGCAGGTGTAACAAGGTTAATTTCTATCCAAGAGTACACACGTTTCAAACATAAAGCACTTCAGCAAGCTGAAGGGCTTTAGGTGTGTGGAGTGTTTCTTTACTCCAAGCACTACAAACACTTCAGTGTCTTGATGTTGTCACTGTGCAAGGACCCTGTATGTACAGCTTCTCAGTACGAAACCCTGTGCACACGGATATATTCTGTACATCAAGCATGTCAAACTTACGGCCTACAATGGAAATCTTTGCGAGCCGCAAGTCCATGCTTAGTGTTAAAGCAGAGTAGGCATCTGCTTTCTCTACAAAATTTACCCGGCCAGGAGGAAAGGTCGCTGGAAGAGCTCAGCCTTCCTGCTCCTCCACGCGCGCCATCTGTAGTGATGTCGGGTGTCGGAATGACATAATATTCCGGCACCCTGCATCACTAAATTGCGCGTGTGAGTGAGCAGTGAGCAGGAAGGAGATCTCCAGATCCCCACTGGACCCCAGGGAAAAATACAATGATGTGTGTGTGTGTGCAAGAATGTGTAAATGTGTGTCTGTCTGTGTCAGGGAGTGAGTGTCTGTCTGTGTCAGGGAGTGAGTGTCTGTCTGTGTCAGGGAGTGAGTGTCTGTCTGTGTCAGGGAGTGAGTGTCTGTCTGTGTCAGGGAGTGAGTGTCTGTCTGTGTCAGGGAGTGAGTGTCTGTCTGTGTCAGGGAGTGAGTGTCTGTCTGTGTCAGGGAGTGAGTGTCTGTCTGTGTGTGAGTGTCTGTGTCAGGGAGTGAGTGTCAGGAGTCTGTGTCAGGGAGTGAGTGTCTGTGTCAGGGTGAGTGTGGAGTGAGGTGTGGGTGAGGGTGGGAGTGAGTCAGGGAGGGTGAGGGGGAGGGGGTGAGGGAGGGAGGGAGGGAGGGTGAGGGAGGGAGGGGGGTGAGGGAGGGAGTGAGGAGGGGAGAGGGAGGGTGAGTGAGGGAGGGTGAGTGAGGGAGGGTGAGTGAGGGAGGGTGAGTGAGGGAGGGTGAGTGAGGGAGGGTGAGTGAGGGAGGGTGAGTGTCAGTGAATGAGTGTCAGTGAGGGATAAATACAATGATGTGAGTGTGTGCAAGAATGTGTAAATGTGTGTGTCTGTGTCAGTGAGTGAGTGTCAGTGAGTGAGTGTCTGTCTGTGTCAGTTAGTGAGGATGAGTGAGTGAGGGTGAGTGTCAGTGAGTGTCGATGGCCGAGGCTGGACAGTGGAGGACCTGGAGGTGCACGGAGGCACGCATCGCCGCGTCACATTCCAACGTGACGTCGACGTGCTCCACCTTTACAGTGTTTCAAGAAGAAGAAGGAGGGTCCGCTTTGGCATAGGGTGCGGACGGCGCCATTTGGGGTATACCAGAGGGCGGACTCCGGAGTCACATACTGGCAGCGGCAAAATGAGTGGATTCTGCTTGTTGGCTAGAGAGGGGTGCTGGGATTTAGTAGAGGGGGGACTTATATATATATATATATATATACACACATATATACACACACTGTACTTGATATAAGGACACATTACTGTAATCATTATTGCTGTGGAACTCTGTTATACCCTCAGACGCACCAACAATATGGAGCCCCTAGAAATGTTGTACATTATGATGAAAAGGGGGGACAGATGGATTTATGTCCAAAATAAGGACTGCACATCCTAAATAGGGACAGTTGGGACAGTTGTTCATCCTGGCTCCTGGGATTTGCTAGCTCTCTAGTTAGTGTGGGTCACGGGGAATATTCGAGGCGGCTTGGGCAGCATGGACGCAGTGCACGAGGGAGCAGTACTCTTACTGCAGCTCCTCTCTGCTCCCTTGGGCTGTCTAATGATGCCGGGAGCAGGAATATGATGTCACTCCAGCCCAGACATCACTACGGAGAGCGCGCAAGGAGCAGAGAGGAGCTGCAGGAAGAGAGCGGCCCCACTGGTCCCTGGGGAAAGATCCACTCAGCTCTCCCAAAGGTAGGGAGGCTGAGTGGGTTTCCATTAAAACAAAAATGTGAGTGTGAGCCTGTCAGAGTGTGCGCATGCGTTTAGGTACCTTCCCCTTCCGATCGCATGAGGAAAGTGTTTTTCCTCACCATTTTCCCACACCGTGCCAGTTTTGCCATAGCTGAGATTATCATTTTTTATGATCTCAGCTAAGCCAATGCATGCGCAGCAAATGTACCAATCAGCATCTCCTCATAGAGATGCATTAAATTAATGAATCTCTTTAAGGAACATTCAGCGCCTTCATGCAGAGCATGGAGATACTGAACATGGGTGCTGCACGTGGTGCAGCAGTGACCCAGAACTCTCTAGTGGCAGTCTGAGTGATGTAAACACTGCCTTTTCACAGAAAAAGGCAGTGTTTATACTAAAAAGCCTGCGGTGACAGGCTATAGACACCAGAACAACTACATCAAGCTATAGTGGTTCTGGTGACTATAGTGTCCCTTTAAGAATTGCATTTTATCATTGAAAATGACTGGCTCCTAACTTTTTTAGCTGGCTCCTATATTCCAAACAAATTTGTCAAGCCCTGCTCTAATGATAGTGATCTAATGAGCACCATTTAAAAATTTTACAAATTAAAAACTCACAAGAAAAGCTTTGATATTGCAAATGTCTGGAATACAGATCAACCTCCTCACATCTCCAAAAAGTATTACACAAAATAACAGACCATGCTTAGAGATAAATTACCTCCCATCACTAGGTATACAATGAAATCTTTTACAAACATATGGTCCCGTTGGATTAATTGGAAAATATATTGACGAATCTTTCTGTATTTTAGCACAGTGCCTCTTTCCCTCCTGGATAACATTTTATGTGTTGTTTGTTTTTTCCCTTTTCCAACTCAAGCTTTTTGACCCATTTTTAACGTGTTAAAACATTTGGTAGTGTTCCAAATTATCCTGTTTAGATTTTGAAATGTTTCATTCAAATGCATTTATGTATGCCTTCTCTAAATAAAGAGGAACAAAAAAATTTTTTAAAATAAATAAGAGAATTCCTATACTCAACAAAACTGTTCCTGTTCCTATGTACAACTTATATGGTGCACAGGAGTAAGAAAGTCTGTATACTTTTGTTGAATTCAGACACATGGAATAAGAGGGATTTTAAAGTTATGTTATTAATTTTTCTCTAAATACAAATTAGGTAACCGCGCACACACAGGAAAATTTTTTTTACATTTTACAAGGCTACTTCAAATCACCGATCTATACAATATGGCCATATGGTGCAACTTAATCCCCATATTAAAGGGATACTTAGTGCCAGGAATACTTAGCTGAAGTGGTCTTGGTGCCTACAGTTTCCCTTTAAAACTATTTTTCTTGCGTGTGCACTGTTCTATAATCTGTATTTTGAATATATTCTGGTCTTTATGACAGCACCACTATTTAGAAATGCATGTTTTGTGCTTGTCGCCAATCCTTTTTATTACACCTTTGATTAGTTGCGCTCTGTTCCGATCGATATAAATGTGATATGCGATTCATCTACAAATGCACGGAATTCTGAAGATAAAACAAACGGTCTCCATTATGGGCAACAAAGCGTATAATAAATATATTCCTTCCCTGCACCAAATACAAAGAAAACAAAAATTGAATTATAGATCTGCTCTATGATCTACATTGAAGAACTCAACCTATCCATTTACAAGTGACAGTTCTGTTTCTCCTTAAACAAGTAAATGCTTCTGAGGCTGAGGCAAAACTGATCTTTTCTTAAAAAAAAAAAATAAACCTGGAAAACAGATGACACACACACTATGCATCACTAATACCACTCATATCATCTATGTCCTAGGACAAAATCTAAGCCTCAGGGGCTCTCGATTTACATTGTGAAAGAAAATTCCAACCAGGTATTTTTAAAGCAGTGTTCAGCAAGTTCTGTTACTAGAGGAACAAAAAGGGCTTTTCTTTTTTTTGCCTTGCTCATTGAAAGCCCTGTACAAAAGACCGTTTCATTATCAGATTATTTAACAGCTGTTGTTGGTACCATCACAAAACTATTTGTTACCACAGCATTACAAACAAAGCTGCAATGATTGAATGTACAAAAAATGCTATGTGACTGATTTTTCCTTTCCTATCTCACACATCCGAGGAGGAAAAAAAACAAAGTAGTATAGATACATGGAATACACCTTTTTGTAGGTAATTGCCCAACACGGGGTATCTGCAACACCTTAACTACAGATGTTTGAAAATTACTAGTCATTTTTCACTCATACCTCTTGGTAAATTAATAGTTATTAGCACATATTATTGCAAACTTAGATACCCAGCAAATTTCAAACACAACAAACTACTTTTCCAAAAAACAATAATAATAAAAAAAAAAGTAAGGGCTGTCAAAAAGGGAAGTAGCACCTAATGGCTGAGAGAGGAACGACCTGCCTAGAAGAGTCTGAACTGACTTACTGGTGAATGCTGAGGCTTGGAAATCCAAGCAATAGTCTAATTAATACCTTGAAAAGCTGTGAATAGCTGACTAAGTATACTAAATTTCAGTCCAAGATATAGCCACGGTTTAAGCTGAATGATCTCAGAATTTACGAACTTATTCTTTCTTTGTAAGTTCATAAGCAAACACAATTGTGAGTTAAATTCTTTGTAACAGAGTTTTGGACACAGAAGTCTCATTCCAACACCAAAAAAAAAAAAAAACTGACAGAACTCCTTATCAGATAGCCATTATCCAACATGCAGGCAGTGAAACGTGAGTGTTGTATTTTAATTTAATAATCTTGTGATACCGCCTCATGGGCATTTAAAGGGACATTGTAGTCACCATAACCACTATTGCTTAATGTAGTAGTTCTGATGCACACAGTCTGTTCCTGCAGGCTGAGCACTGAAAATAAAAAAATAACAAGTCATAAGATGGCCACTTGAGGTGCTTCCTAGACCAGTGCTGCACTAGCACTGGCATTCAGTCATTGCTGAACGTTCCCTAAAGAGTTGCATTAATACAATGCATCCCTATAAGGAGATGCTGTTGTGGCAGCAAAGCATTTTCCTGCGCATGTGCAATAGCTTCCCAATGTTTCCCTATGGTAAAGCATTTGATTGGTGAATATCATCGATATAGAGGCTCCCAGCCGCATAAGCAGGGCCAGCGGGGTGAAGGGGAAAAGGCGAGTTAACATCTTAACTCCATAGAGGGGGCCAGTCACCTAAACAGTTAGTTTAACACTATAGTGTTAGGATTACTTGTTTGTATTCCTGACAATATAGAGTTCCTTTAACTACAACTTAGGGTGCTCCAGAAAGCCTTCCATTCCTGTAGTCTGAGAGTCTTACTTTTCCTTGCCACGAAATACTGGATTGAATCCTAAGCAAATACATTTGGGACAGTGGTGGTGGTAATTACAACTTTGCAGGTATTATTCTTATAACTACCAATGAAGGTCTAGTACGGTCTCCAGTGTGGTTATCCAAACTCAAGCTATTGTTGTAATCAAAATTAATTATTCAACCCCCATTGAAAATCAGGTTTACAGGGAGTGCAGAATTATTAGGCAAATGAGTATTTTGACCACATCATCCTCTTTATGCATGTTGTCTTACTCCAAGCTGTATAGGCTCGAAAGCCTACTACCAATTAAGCATATTAGGTGATGTGCATCTCTGTAATGAGAAGGGGTGTGGTCTAATGACATCAACACCCTATATCAGGTGTGCATAATTATTAGGCAACTTCCTTTCCTTTGGCAAAATGGGTCAAAAGAAGGACTTGACAGGCTCAGAAAAGTCAAACATAGTGAGATATCTTGCAGAGGGATGCAGCACTCTTAAAATTGCAAAGCTTCTGAAGCGTGATCATCGAACAATCAAGCGTTTCATTCAAAATAGTCAACAGGGTCGCAAGAAGCGTGTGGAAAAACCAAGGCGCAAAATAACTGCCCATGAACTGAGAAAAGTCAAGCGTGCAGCTGCCACGATGCCACTTGCCACCAGTTTGGCCATATTTCAGAGCTGCAACATCACTGGAGTGCCCAAAAGCACAAGGTGTGCAATACTCAGAGACATGGCCAAGGTAAGAAAGGCTGAAAGACGACCACCACTGAACAAGACACACAAGCTGAAACGTCAAGACTGGGCCAAGAAATATCTCAAGACTGATTTTTCTAAGGTTTTATGGACTGATGAAATGAGAGTGAGTCTTGATGGGCCAGATGGATGGGCCCGTGGCTGGATTGGTAAAGGGCAGAGAGCTCCAGTCCGACTCAGACGCCAGCAAGGTGGAGGTGGAGTACTGGTTTGGGCTGGTATCATCAAAGATGAGCTTGTGGGGCCTTTTCGGGTTGAGGATGGAGTCAAGCTCAACTCCCAGTCCTACTGCCAGTTCCTGGAAGACACCTTCTTCAAGCAGTGGTACAGGAAGAAGTCTGCATCCTTCAAGAAAAACATGATTTTCATGCAGGACAATGCTCCATCACACGCGTCCAAGTACTCCACAGCATGGCTGGCAAGAAAGGGTATAAAAGAAGGAAATCTAATGACATGGCCTCCTTGTTCACCTGATCTGAACCCCATTGAGAACCTGTGGTCCATCATCAAATGTGAGATTTACAAGGAGGGAAAACAGTACACCTCTCTGAACAGTGTCTGGGAGGCTGTGGTTGCTGCTGCACGCAATGTTGATGGTGAACAGATCAAAACACTGACAGAATCCATGGATGGCAGGCTTTTGAGTGTCCTTGCAAAGAAAGGTGGCTATATTGGTCACTGATTTGTTTTTGTTTTGTTTTTGAATGTCAGAAATTTATATTTGTGAATGTTGAGATGTTATATTGGTTTCACTGGTAATAATAAATAATTGAAATGGGTATATATTTGTTTTTTGTTAAGTTGCCTAATAATTATGCACAGTAATAGTCACCTGCACACACAGATATCCCCCTAACATAGCTAAAACTAAAAACAAACTAAAAACTACTTCCAAAAATATTCAGCTTTGATATTAATGAGTTTTTTGGGTTCATTGAGAACATGGTTGTTGTTCAATAATAAAATTAATCCTCAAAAATACAACTTGCCTAATAATTCTGCACTCCCTGTATTGTCAAAATGTACAGACTGTCAGCTGTTTGCAATGACCAAATCAAACAAAAGCAATTGAAATAGCTCAACAACAAATGCTTCAAGTGGTTTCCCCAAATTCAACTGAAAATGCAACTTATGACTTCTCCAGTCTCAGAATTAGTAGTAAGCGCTACGGAATCTGTTGGCGCTATATAAATGGCGATAATTACAATAATAATAACTCCCTAAATAGAATCCCTCACAACAGCACAGATATGCAAAACATATGTTGCCTGAAGCACAACTCATGCAACTAATCAAGGACTTCATTAGTTGCACCAGGTGTGCTTAGGCTGGAACACTTGAATTACCTGAACTGGCTAGGGCGTTGTTGAGTGTCACGTTTGACTGCATGTTAGAAATATGGCTAAGTCAATCGAATGATCCACAAAGTTAAGAGAAGAGATCATCGACCTTCACAAACAAGGAACAGCATACAAAAAGATAGTGAATGGACTGAATGTTCCTAGAGACACCTATGGAAGCATAATTCAAAAATTCCATGTTGAAGAAACAGTGGTTACACTACCTGGACTGGGCAGAAAAATTAAGCTATTAATGGCTGCAACTAGATTTCTGAGAAGTCGAGTGACTGCAAAAGACCTGCAGAAAGACTTTGGGGCAACAGGCACTGAGGTTTCAGTGAGCACAGTAAGACGTGTACTAAAACCATGCCAGAATTTCAAGACATATACCCCTACTGACTCAAAAGCACAAGAAAAGTCAGCTCCAATATGCTCAAAATCAATCATATAAATAAGCCACAGAAGTTTGGGGATTCTGTTCTTTGGAGCGATGAAACAAAACTAACTTTTCTTCCCAATAGAGCAGCGCTTCTTCAAGAGGAAGAAGAATATAGCATACACTAAAAAGAACAATCTGCCTACAATTACGCATTGTCACTCGGTGATGCTTTGCATCCTCTGGCATTGGAAACCTGCGGTGTGCAGAAGAAAAGCTTAATTCAGTGAAGTATCAAGAAATCTGTCTGTGAGGAAGCTGAAACTTGGGTGTCATTGGAATTCTACAGTGGCCATCACAGTCACCTAACTTGAACCCCATAGAAAATCTCTGGTGGGATTTGAAGAAGGTGGTTTCAGCACACAAACCCAAGAATATTACTCAACTGGAGGCCATTGCTCATAAGCAATGGGCTAAGATTCATCAGGAACGCTGTCAGAAGCTGCTGTCTGGCTATACATCTAGTCTGCGGACTGTAAGCAGATGAAAGTCTGTAAGTTGACAATAAGCCGAATTTCAATGCGGTTTGAATAATTTTGACTTTAACTGTAGCTGCGGTGATGCTTTTTAGAACACAGTTTCCAACTGTCGTCTTTCTTTTGGACAGAATTCGATCATTTCGCTGGCGCCATAGCCTAAATGACTGGAAGTTCGGGAATGACGAATGGAGCAACACGAGAACATGGAGGAGGGTGAGTATTGTGGGAAAACTTTCTCTCACACAGGAAGTGGAGCTGACTTAAGCTCCTCCTTGTGTCAAAGAAAGTCAGGCATAGGAAAAATACATAAGACAAAGAAGTCCCTCTACTTTATCTTGTTTTAAAGAAAACCAGATCAGAACTACAGACAAGAAAAACAGATTATAAAAGAGGAAGAGACAGGAAACGATTGGGAAAAGATAAGATCGGCACAACAGTGGCTCTTAGACATAGAATATGGTTTAAAAATGATTTATATAGCACAAATTCTTATAACGATGGAAAAGTGAATTGCAGGAATAATGTAGCCAGTACATGGATTATGTATCACCTTCTATGTTTGGCATTTTGTTTTGTTTTTTAAAGCGGGTAGAGGAGATATACAGCAGACATATCAGCGTTTACAGTTCTATATTTGGCTTTTATATCAATAAAAACCACAAAACCCAAAATCTGAGGAAAGACTACGCAGTAATGTAACACCAAGATTACAGAATATCAAGTATGTAGATCCACTACAATTCAACACAAAATGATCTCTCCAAAAAGCCATCCAGGTGCCATTAGCAAGTTTTTAACATTCCCAACCTAAACACCATAGCAATAAAACAGAGATCTTAAAACATTACAAACAGATGTAAAATCCTGAAAGGAACACTTTTTTTTTTTTTTTTTTTAGCTTTAAAGCAAAAATTGCAAATTCTATAGCATCTATGCAAAAACAGAATTATAAGCTGTTCTTTTACGAACAGTTACAGTGAGAAAATGGTAACATTCCAATTAAACATTTGTCTGAATGATCAAACCCCTAAATGAGAGTTCAGCATTTGCTTTAACATTGTAATTTTAAATCTGATTTTATGATGATTAACTTGACTTCCAAAGCACCCCTCTAATTACAAATCCACAGACTGAAACAATATTTCATAAGGAATTGCCTTTCCACTTTAAAAAGCAGCAGGAAAAATAAAACAGCAGTTAGTGATAATGAACAACGCTGTGAACTAGATATGTAATAAAAGCTCTGTAAACAGCACAAATATCTCTAGTGTGATTATTTGGTCAAATGATTAATCAATTACCAAATGCTGTGTGGTTCCTAATTAGAAATTTAACTAATCCAGTACAATAAAGACATTTCAAATGATTACTGGAGTACAGATGCCCTGTCACAAAAGGTCAAAACATGCAAACTAGCCAAGTCAAACATCTTTCTGAGGATACCAAAGGCTTTCAGCACAGATCGTAATTATTTTGCAGGTGGCAGAGAATTGCTCACTATTAAGAACCAAAGCTGTATTTAACGTTTGGTTATTTTGGCCTTACATTTGAAAATTCCCTTGAGTTTCTGGCAATGCATGTTTTAATAACCCTGTAAATAAAGCTTATAGACCTATGGTGGTAGTAGAGAAGAGTTCAGTGTCACGCTCTGCTAGCAATAATTTGCGCTGAACATCATGGCCGGTCACACATTCGTAACCCTAGGCATTGTGCAGGAAGCAATAATGCAAAATCTGTGTCACATGACTGAGAAGTCAAACGTTAACTTAGAGGGACACTATAGTACCAGAACATCTACAGATAAATGTAGTTGTTCTGGTGTCTATTTCCTGTCTATATCCTGTTTTTTGCTGTAAACATTGCCTTTTTAGAAAAACGGCAATGTTTACATTGCTGCCTAGGGACATCTCCAGTTGCATTCACTCAGACGGCAACTAGAGGTACTTCCTTAGTCAGTGCTGCACAACACGCAAGACAGAAGTTCATCATCTCCACACTCTGCATGAAGACACTGAACTTTCCCTATAGAGATGCACTGATTCAATGCATCTCTATGAGGAGATGCTGATTTGCTGATTGGCTAGGGTGGGGTTTGGTACTCCCCCCCCCCCCACCTCCTTGGCTGAGATCATCATAGGCAAGCGTTGGATTGGCTGAGATTGTCAATTTTAATGAGCTCAGCCAAGAAGGCGGGGTGGAGCAGAACCAGCGCCAGCAGACCCGCTCAGTCCTGAAAAATAAAGGTGAATAAAATATTTATTTAAAGGGGAGCAAGGACCTAAATCAGGGGTTCCCAGACTCGTTGCTGCGGCGCCCCAGGCTCCGAATATCACGAGAGTGAACTCTGGCAAAGGTAAGCAGGGGAGGGATATTAAAATAATAATTTTTTTCTTTTTTTAATAAAAAAAAAAAGTATATATCTATCTGCCTTCCTACCCCCACAGACCCACAACAACTCCCCCCATACACACAATTATCTCCCCATACAACCTGCCGCCTCATACAACCTGCTCCCCCACACATACACACACAGTACCACTCACACACACATACTGCATCCTTCACAAACACAATGCACCACTCACACACTCCACCCCTCAGATACACTACTGCACCTATTCCTTAGTACAGACCCTCCTAGCAGATCGCAGGTAAGTTGTCAAACTGTTCTTAAACAGTTTGACTACTTACTCTGGGAGAGCACTACGGCACTATTAGCACCATAACCACTACAAAGGATGGCCAGTGCCTGGATTGTTTATTTAAGTAATTTACCAGTGCCCCTCCAAAGATTAGGTTCTGTATCTGCGCTTGACCGGCAAGGATTTCTGTCAAACAGGGGCCCAGTAAATGCCGCTGCGTCTACATATATACAACCTAGGAAATTGTTTTAACTTGGGATGCCTTGGAAATATATTGACATGTTAAGGATGCCTTGAACCTAAAAAGTTTGGGAACCACTGGCCTAAATAATGTTTTTAACACCATCAGGTCAGGAATATACATTTATATTCCTGACCCTATAGTGTTCCTTTAATTAGGGTTTATTAAAACTGACAAGTTAATATCTGTATTCAGTGCAGAAATTCTAGTGGGCTACTTCAGCAATAATGGTCAAGATAAAGAGATTTATTGGGAGATACAAAGCCCCAAATGATGGCAAGTAGAATTTAGTAACAAAGTGAGGATAAATAGATAACAAAACTGAAAGCAAAGTGACCCCAATCCAGTCATGTGGACAGAATTCTGTCAAGAACCCTGCTCATCGATTACATACAATCTTTATGATTCAATAAAATGCTTGTTTTTTTGGGGGGTGGGTGTGATGTTCCCTCACCATTATGTCATTCCCTAATGATTTATGCATTGAAGAATTTGTGTATATATGACATACGTACATACACAGACATTCATATACAAAACTAAGAGGGTTGCACTCATCAGAACATGCATACATTAGGAGGGTGCTGTAGTGGCCAATTCATACATCATCCAGCGTATTCACGCATAGGTTGCTAGGATGGGACCTGCCAAGAATGGTGTACATTGGCATTGTCTACCAAAGGTAGTGCATGCACTGGATCATGTATGATATGGATATATATATATATATATACACACACACACACACACACACACACACACACACACACACACACACACACACACACACACACACACACACACACACCTTTCATAAAAACTTATACTTGTTTTTGACAAACTAGAGCGACGGACGAATCTGTGACAGAAAGCCTTTGTAACCTGCAGATAATGACATGGTGATTGTGTATTCTGTAATGTAATCATGGGTGTCCATACTCTGCATTCTACTGCTATCCTGTTTCTCTGGTAACCATTAAAAAGTCTACAATAGTGGGCGGGATTCAAGTCTAGATGTGCCCAGCATCTCTCAGCCTATCACTGCTGTCCATATTGACAGGTTTGGTACTCATAATGTGGAAGTGTAAATTACGCATCATTAAGTCTGCTGAAGAGTGGGTAGTCTGTGAGTGCAGGAAAGAGCCCACGCTTTTTTGTCTACGCGCAAGAGGTTTGTGAAAAAAATTAATTAATGGGGGAAGCAACCAGAGCCCTCTTAGCAACATAACCACTACACTTAGGTGCAGATTTTTACACATTTATCTCCATGACGAATCAACAATTGTGGTGAATTCAGCATGGAAAGCCCCTTTAATATTTAATATTACATGTAGGTTTTTCATTTTCTATTCTTAGGTTTAAAAAAAAAAAAAAATGCATTTCCATTCCTTGTAGTTCAGGAATAATATTTTAAACCTACAAATAAAAGTAAACAATTAATAATGGTATCCATACATTTCCTGGTTCAATCCTCGCAAAGAAACATGTAGGCGCAAGGAAGCGGTCACATTAACTCAAAGGAACTACATAGAGCAACACAAAAGCAATTGTGGCAGTGACTGAGTATGTTGTGAACCAGCCCTTACAGTATTAATGAAAAGCAGCAATTTGATTTGGTTTAGTGAGAAGCGGAAAAATAGACTACAGTACTGTACTCAGAGATAAAAGGTATGCTTGCAAAAAACAAGGATTTTAGATAATTACAACATTCAGACCTTCAGGGCTATACACTAGACTGAGAATTATAAAGAATCCAAAAAGAGAATTGCAAATGATAAGCCAAAAGAGTGAAATTGGAAAACATTATCCATCTTACGCACACTGGCTTGGGGTTGCTGACACGTCTTCTGAATCACAGGTGCAGCACAGGATCAGTAGGACTTATATATATATATATATCTTCATGCGGACATTCTCAAAATGCTACAAATGCTACAACAATATTGCATTCAAGTGTCAACACCATAATCACTGCAGTTCATCGATGTGGGTATGGTGCTACATATATTTTATAATTATTATTGGTATTTATATAGCGCCAACTAATTCCGCAGCGCTTTACAATATTATGAAAGTGGGAAATTTACAATAAATGAGACAATTACACAGTGACACAGGAACAATAGGTAGATGTGGGCCCTGCTCAAAACGAGCTTATATTAGGGCAGGGCTTGACAAATTTGCTTGGAATCTAGGAGCCAGGTTTTTCAATGTCAAAAATACAATTCTTAAAGGGACACTATAGTCACCAGAACCACTACAGCTTAAGGTAGTTGTTCTCATGTCTAAGTGTCCTGCACACTTTTTCAATGTAAACCCTGCCTTTTCATAGAAAAGGTAGTATTTACATTGCTGCCTTGCAACACTTCTGGTGACAGTCACTCAGACGGCCTCTGGAGTGCATCCTGGATCAGTGCTGCACAGTACCTACGTATAAGCGTCTCCACACCCTCCTCTATGAGGAGATGCCAATTGGCGCAGAACGGCGTTTTGACACACATGCACAATAGTCTCCCAATGCTTTCCTATGGGAAAGCATTGGATTGGCTGAGATCATCAAGATTGACGATAGCAGTCATGGAGGCAGGGCCAGTTGCGGCGAGATCAGTACAGCGTGTGAGAAAAAGGGAGTAAAAACCCCTTTCCCATGTGATTGGAGGACCAGTCATAGGGACACAGAGTTTCGTGATCGTGCTTTGGCCTTGTACATTGTCTTATCTGATGAACTTAAAGGATCACTATAGTGTCAGGAAAACAAATTTGTTTTCCTGACACTATATAATCCTTAGGGTCCCTCCACCCTCAGGGCCCCCCTCCCTCTGGGTGAAGGGGTTAAAACCCCTACAGCCACTTTCCTTTATCGAGCACCGGGCTCCCTCGGCGCTGGTGACATCTCCTCCCCCTCCAACGTCAGCTCCCGAATGCGCATGCGCGGCCAGAGCCGCGCACACCATTAAAAACACCCATAGGAAAGCATTTCTCAATGCTTTCCTATTGTCGTTCTGCGTTCTCAATGCTTTCCTAAGGACATTCTGAATGCTCAATGCGTCAGGAAGATGGCCACTAGAGGCAGGATTAACCCTCCAATGTAAACATAGCAGTTTCTCTGAAACTGCTATGTTTACATCTGAAGGGTTAAAACCTGGGGGACCTGACACTCAGACCACTTCACTGAGCTGAAGTGGTCTGAGTGACTATAGTGGTCCTTTAGGTAAACACATTGTGCTGTAAAAATTTTACTTTTTTTCTAGGGATCAACCGATTATCGGCCGATATTTGGTATTTTTGGCAATATCGGTATCGGCCAATTCAGATACCGATATTGCCGATAATATATAACAGGACCGCCGGGCCCGTTACAAGCCCAGCGGTCCTGTGGGGGGCCAGCAGCAAGCGCTGACTTACCTTGCAAGCAGCTCCTGCAGCTCCCTGTGTAAATCTCGGGTTACCATGGCAACGCTCCGCGCGGCACTAAGAGCCGCGAGATTTACACAGGGAGCTGGAGGAGCTGCTTCCAAGGTAAGTCAGCGCTTGCTGCTGCTGAGCCACCACTGTACTTAACAAGCCACTGGACCACCAGGGAATACTATATCCCCCCTCCCTGGTAAGAAGCAGGGAGGGGGGACTAAACAAAACAAAAAAACATTTAAATATTTTTAAAAAAAATTAAAATTTAAAAAATGCCCCCCCGACATTTTACACAAATTACATCACTACACAAACACACACACACTCACTCACTGCAGTACATACACACACACACAAACACTACACACACTACACAAACACACACTGCATTACACACACTACATTACATACACACTACACAAACACACACTACATACACACACTCTACACAAACACTGCATTATATACACACACTACACAGACACTGCATTATATACACACTACATTATATACACACACTACACAAACACTGCATTATATACACACTACACAAACACACACTCTGCATCCACTACACAAACAGCTCCCCTGTCTAAACACACTTCATCCACTACATGTGGCATGTATATTTTGTGCATTTACCTTTCGAATTAGTTATTTTTTCAAAATAGTAAATGTACAGAATATCGGCAAGATATCGGCTATCGGCCTGAAAGTTCACAGATTATCGGTATCGACTCTAAAAAAAATCAATATCGGTGGATCCCTACTTTTTTTCCACCAAGCAGTCTTTACGACAGCCAGGGGAGGTGTGGCTAGGGCTGCATAGAGTAATAGGCATACTATAGGCACCAAAATGTATTAAGCGGATCAAGGCAGTTTTGGTGTATGAATATACCTCTGCAGTCTCACTGCTCAATTCCTTGCCATTTAGGAGTTCAATCACTTTGTTTATGCTGCCCAAGTCATGCCTCCCTGCATGTGGCTCAAACAGTCTGCATTTTGCTTCGTAGGAAATACTGTGCTAAGAAAGTTCCAAGTTTTGCTATTGTACAATTTAATTTTGACCCTTTGTGGGTACAGCATGCTATTGTATTACCATGTGTGCCAATATATCCACTCTATGAAACTTTAAATAAAAAAGAAAGTTACATAGTTTAAATAAATCAAATTTTAGTTTATTTTCATTTCAACCAGACGATTGATCTTCATTTTATTATTTTGCACATCATAATTTGATTCAAGTCACATCACCACCATATTAGTATTTGCAATCATTATTGAAATCTTGTTACTAGATTTCAATTTACATAACAAGAAGCCAAGTACTAGTTAGCTGTATTCTATCCCGTTCTTTAAAATAGACTACTAGAGCATAGTCAGAATTTATAAAGCAATTTAATAAGAGATTCTTGAAGCATACATCAAAGCTGAAACCATGATTCTCAATGCCTACATCTAAACGGAGACATCAAAATTCTCATGTGTAACACAAATCAACATGGATACATATTAAAGGCACTACTTGTCACAATACATCAGAGTTTACTTATAAAACAAAAAGCAATTCAGGGCAAAGTTCTAAACTTGAGCAATTACCATGGAAACCATTGGAATGCTCCTACCAATTGCTCTATTTTCAGAACCATGTCCCAGAATTTCTCATTATGAATAACCTATATTTGTTTATATGTGTTTGTTTCAAAGGGATCCCATTTACACATTAAAAAAAAAAACTGTAGATTTGCTTCAGCACAGCAACACAGTATATCTTCCACACCTTCGAGACACCATACAAAAGATATGTAAATATGCATACTCTGTATATCAATTTTATATTCATACTCTTTTATTTGAACACCAATAGCAATAAACTGAAGAGTCTTACAAGTACTAATATGCATCATATGCAACAAAATCTGGGTTTAAAAGACTTTTGATGCAGACACATTTTAGGCTGTTTTGCCCAAGAAACTAGACCAGTGCAACACTTGCCACTCTGCTGCTTAACTCCAATAATGTGTTAAAAGCCATGATTTGTCATGTATTTTTATTTTCTGTTCCTGTAGCTTATTAGAATGTACTGCAGTACGGATTCATAAAATTAAAATAGAAAAAGGTAACAAGCACAGACAAATTAAGAGTAAATTACAAGGCAGCAATAAAATAGGAGGGGTCTCATTTGAAAATCAATTAAATATTTAAACAGAACTGCACTGGAGGGCAATTCTCTTGGAGGTGACCTGTTTCTGTTAGTGGAAACAAAGCCAGAAGCAGGGCACTCTGAGCCTCCTGCCAAATCCCACATGACATCACATGGGATATTTGACAAAACCACAAGTTCATCATTGTAATTCATGCACACAGCTTGATGAGACAAACGCATTGCTTGCTTTTTTTTTCTCTCTCTCTCTCCCAAGCTGTGAAGTGTGAGAAGGTGAGAATATAAAGTTTAAGCCAATTAATTTTTAGAATTTATTTCTACAGCATCTTAGTCATTATGCATTGTGTGAAAAAGGCAATAAAAAGAACTGCAAGTCTATGCAGCAGAACATAAACTATAAACCTGCCTGTTTAGTGTTACCTTCAAAAAATAAATATACAGCTCTAACAATACTAAAGTCAGATTATGTATGATCATACTTCAATGGCTGAACTGCCCATCTGTGAAAAGGTCAATGAGACAAACAGGTTTATGGGCATGTCAGTATGGTCACAGGATGAATCTTGCGTTCCTTCAAATGGACCAAAATGATCCATTGATCATATAACATTACAGTACAGGGTTTAAAAAAAAAAAAAAAAAACAATAAGTGAGCAAAGAATGCTTCATCCTCTGAGGCCACACAGACAAGTCAAACACTGTAAATAGATGTAATTTAATGAAAATAAGATATTAGAAATGGATAGACTGATTTGAGAGCGTTAACCCTTGTTAGACCACGTGAGCTTATATTGTAATACTTCTATTAAAGATATTAACACTGCAAATACATCAGAAAGTGAAAAGATCAAATTTTATACCTTGCTACCTTCACTGTTTTACATTTGAATCAATAAATTCAAGAATTGTATTCTGTCTAGAAGTATCAACAGTGTTATTAATTGTTCATCAATCATCCTCTGTATGTCGCTTAGTTAGTGATGGGGTGAAAAGCCTAATTACAGTGTACAAAGAGGCTCAGCATCCAAGATGCATCCCGTCACCAAATTGTCACACAGAAGCAGGAACGTTAACCATTCGAACACCAGCAAAACATGCAACATAGGACAATTATAATTGTACTAGGTTGGAAAACTTCAAATTTTTAGCTACAAATTAAGGGACCATGTAAATTGAATTTTAACCATCAGATAAGATATATATTAAAACCACCAATAAAAGAAATATATGATTAGCCTTCTGTGTGACTTGGGTAATAGATGAGAGGGTGGACACCTCCAACATAACCAAACCCAGAGAATATAGGTAAGATGAGTTTGAAATGCTTATACTTCATCACACAAGCATACACCCACATTAAAAAAAAACAAAAAAAAAAACATTTTAATACTAGCATGGAGAGAATTGGCTTTGTAATTGAAAAGTAAAAAAAAATGAACAGCTGGAAAACATTAACCCAAAATCTAAAGAGGACATTTTTAAGGAATCAGTATAAACCGTATGAAAGAGAATGAAGGATAAATCAATGAAGAACATGCACTGATTGATGCTATTTAAAAAAAAACAAAAAAAACAAAAACATAAAACGGTCATATGCTGTACCTCAGCCACACTGAATGTGTCAGTAGGGGTGAAATAAACACCCATTAACCTCTTGCATTCAAGTGTGTGCCATTACCGCATAGCAATACTTTACTACCCACTCTTTAGCAATGAGGTGTAATGAATTTGCATGTGATATTAGCAGTAAAGGTTTCATTTTACTGAATGCCAATCATAAATGCATAACAGAACATGTATACATCAGGATTATATTGTGTGTGTGTACACACACACACACACACACACACAAAAAAAAAACACCTTGCAGTGAATAAGGCAGATTTCAAAGGAGTATAAAGCTTAATAGTACATGTGTACCATGAACACCCAGCCATAGCACTTGGGCAATGGGTAGAACATGATATGAAGATAATTTGAATCTATGCTATGATGAAAACACTGCATGTTGGGGGCACATGCCTTCTCCAGCACTCCATCATGTGGTAGTAGAGGGAGCTCAGTAAATGGCTAATAACCACTTGTATGGCAGGGCACTCACATCAGATGCAATGCATAGAAACACTGGTAAATAATAATAATAATAATATTAATCTGGGGGAGGAGGGGGTGTTCCTGTGATAATCCCTGGGGAGCCAGGTAGAGGGTTAGATCCCAGTAATAACCCCCCTCCCCACCATGTTTATACAGAATACATGCTGCCTGGCTGTTATAACACTACTGATACACTGTAGCATGCATTCATTAATCATTCTCAATTCATCATTGGGCGTCATTTTATTTTCTGCCTTTATAAAAAGGGGTTTATTGTAAATCATTACCCTGCCCCCCCATTATATTCTAATACCCCCATCCCCCCCCAGACCTGGATGTAGTTGTTCTCGCAGTAGTCAGCCACTCTCTCCAGGTTGGTATAGCTGTCCAGCAAAGCCCTCCGGCCGCCGGGGATCTCCTCCTCCAGCAGCATCTGCAGCTCCGCCATCTTATTTTTTTTTTTTTTTTTCCTTTTTTTTTTTCACCACATCCTCCCCTCCTTAGGAACCCCGCTACACTGCGGAGAGAGAGAGAGAGACAGGAGAGGGCGGGAGCGCGCACGCCGCGACACGGACAAAACGGGGGGGAGGAGAACGAGTGCGCGCCCCCGCGGACAAATCCAGCACAAGGTGGGCGTGCCCCAGAGCGGCGCGCGGCTCTTCACACAGCACTGTCGAGAGGCGAAAGGTCTGGTGTCTGCGCGTGCGTCGTCACGTGGGCGGGGCCTAGAAGAAAAGGGAGGGGGGGAGAGGGAGGCGCGCGCTCGCTCGTTTCTCCCTCACGCTCCATCTCCGCTTCTGGCGGTTGCCAAGCAACAAGGGGGGGGACACCGAATGGCAAGCGAACGGAGAGGGGAATGTGTAGAGGGACGGTGACGTCACGGTTTACATGTTTGGCCTCTTTGCTTGCAGTAATAGGTCCAACATGTTAGGATTGATTTAAAATATGTGACTGTTATTAATAGTAACAGTGTAAAACATCTGTTTTTAAACAGTGAAATCATTTGCCCAAATATGTTACTTAACGGGACCCTCCAGGCACCAAAACAACTGCATCTAAATAAAGTTGTTATGGTTCTAGAAGGCCCCGCCCCTCCCAGGCACTCTTACGCCAAGACGTTCTCAGCAAATCAGCGGTGCCACTGCGTGACGCCATTCCGCTCAGAATCCAGATTTCCTGCCTGGGTGGGAGGGGAGATCACCTCTGGAGGCAACTTTTATCTTTAACGGTTTAACCCCGGTTTAACTTAATTCAGAGAAAGTTTGGTGCCTGGAGTTTCCTTTTAACCCGTTAAGGATCGAGCCAAATGTACACGTTTTGATCAAAATAAAACGTAAACAAAAACTTGGAATTTGACTATATGTCTGTTCAACCGTAATTCACCTCTTTCATATTAAGTGCCCCCACACTTATTACATATCATTTTATTCAGGAGAAATAGGGCTTTCATTTAAAGGGACACTATAGTCAACATATAAAAGCAAGAAAGACAGGTCCCCCAGCCTTCTTTCTTGCTTTTCATATGAACTTGCCATAACAAAAAAATCAGTGTAAGTTTTAATAATAAAACTTACCTCCGTTCCAGCGCCGAGCTCCCCGCTAGGCCACGCCCCCTTTTTCATTAAAATGACTAAATCGCAGGGCCCAACAGGACGCTTCTCCTTGAGAAGCGTCAATGCGATGTGGTGCGCATGCGCAGTTTCGCACTGCAACAATCGCATTCTTCATAGAGCTTTCTATACCCGCCCCCCTTCTCACCCAAACTGTGTGTTTGCATGTTTGCATAGAAACACTATATATAGAGATCTATCTATATATAGTGTTTCTATGCAAACACACAAGTAAATTAAAAAATTAAAGACATACACACACACTCTTTCTCCATCCATATCCATCCCCATCATCCATATCCATCCCATCCATATCCATCCGTCCCCATCATCCATATCCACCCCCATCATCCATATCCATCCCCATCATCCATATCCATCCCATCCATATCCATCCGTCCCCATCATCCATATCCATCCCCATCAACCATATCCATCCATTCCCATCATCCATATCCATCCCCATCTTCCATCTATCCCCATCATCCATATCCATCCCCATCATCCATATTCATTCACATCATCCATATCCATCCATATCCATCCATCCCCATCATCCATATCCATCCCCATCATCCATCCCCATCATCCATATCCATCCATTCCCATCATTCATATCCATCCCCATCATCCATATCCATCCATTATCCATATCCATCCCCATCATCCATCCATCCCCATCATCCATATCCATCCCCATCATCCATATCCATCCATTCCCATCATTCATATCCATCCCCATCATCCATATCCATCCATTATCCATATCCATCCCCATCATCCATCCATCTAAATAAGTTTACTTACAGTTTGAATCCTCCCCTCCTCCTTGGTCTCTGGTCTTCAGCTTGTCCGCTCAAGCCACTCCCACGCAGACAGGATCCTCGTGCACAGTGCTGCACAGAGCTGCCCTCTGTCTGCTGACAGCAGATCTGAGTGGATGGAGGCGTTTTATGCCTCAATCAACTCGGAAATTCCCTCTGGTGGCCGTCTGAGTGACTGCAACTGGAGGTGTTCCTAACTTTGAATGTAAACACTGTATTTTCTGAGAACATACAGTGTTTACATGAGAAAGGCTGCAGGGAGCTTTAGTTCTCACCTGAACAACCTCATTAAGCTGAAGTTGTTCAGGTGTCTATAGTGTCCCTTTAACATCAAATATTTAGCTATGAAACATAATTTAAGATGAATAACATATTAAAAAATGTGAGAAATTAAGAAAATGTTTTTTAGTTCTGCATGACATTGTAACTGAATGTCATAATACTGTTTGCTTTTACTGCAATAAAATACACATATTTGTATTCAGTGATGTCTCATGTGTAAAACAGTATGTACAGGTTTTATGTTTTTTTGGGAAGTTACAGGGTCAAATATAGCATGTTACATTTTTCATTTTTTTCACATTAAAATTCGCTAGATTTGTTACGTTGCCTTTGAGACCAAATGGTAGCCCAGGAATGAGAATTACCCCCATGATGGCATACCATTTGCAGTCATGGGGGTTATTCTCATTCCTGAGCTACCATACGGTCCCAAAGCCAACGTAACAAATCTGGCAAATTTCAACGTGAAAAAACTGAAACACAAGCCTTATATTTGACTCTGTAAGTTTTGAAAACACAATAAAACCTGTACATAAGGCGTACTGTTATACTCAAGACACTTCGCTGAACACAAATATTAGTGTTTCAAAACCGTAAAACGTTTCGTATGAATTATATCGTCAGTGTAAGTGCCGTTTGTGTGTGAAAAATGCAAAAAACTTCACTTTCACTGATGATATCATCATTGTAATACATTTTACTGTTTTGAAACACTCATATTTGTGTTCAGCGAAGTCTCCCGGGTAAAACAGTACCCTTCACATACAGGTTTTATGGTGTTTTGGAAAGTTACAGGGCTCAATATAGTGCTAATCATTATGTCTTTTTATTCGCAGGCTATGCTGGGGTGTTTTTATTTTATTGTACGCCATCTGGATGGCTCGCTATTTACCTTTTATATTATGGGATACATCATTTTCAATTAGGAGGTTTGTTCTGCTATATATTTAAGCAGATTTATATGGAACATGTCTGATACATTCTGCTGTGTTTGCCATTTATTGTTTTCATTTTGGCTAACCCACTTTGAACCTTTCAGCATCTTTTGTAATACTTGATTTCTGATTATAATTGTATCATTTTCTGTCTCTGCGATGTAATCTAGCTGCTCTTTCCTTTCAACCTCTTAGCTGATATTTCCCTATTGCATGTCTTCACACCTTGGAGTCTTGAGCCCAGATTGGGTTATCCTGCTCCATAATCTTTGCAATCATCACTGATTAGTGTTTGGCTATAAGATATAGCCTAGTCCCTATGTGATTGCTACATTAATCTTATTGGTCAGTGAATGTATTTAGTGTGTGTTGTATGTTATTGTTGTATTGTTATAACCTGTGCCAAAGGTAGGGAAGTGCCTTTTAGACACAAAACATGGAAGCCTCTCTTTTTCTGCGCCCCCCTCCCCATGTGTACTGTTTGTTTTTCATATATTGTCAAGCTGAATGGAATCAAATTACGAATTTTAGTTACCCGATTGAGTGTGAATATTTGTCCTCCAATTTGGACCCGGCGTTGCAGTTTCACTTTATCGTCAGAAAAAGCACTTTGCAACTAGATGTTTTAAATACCTTTATTTTATTTATTTTTTAATATATTTCTTTATTGAAAATTTTATTACAATTACATATCATACGATTCCATAACAACATATATATACCAGACCTTTCCAATTAACATTTAACACAGACCTTTCCAATTAACACAAAATACATACTAATCTAAATACACCCAGGGACGTATTAGCCGCGAGGCAAACAAGGCATTTGCCTTGGGCGGCATTTTCCCCCAAATGCCCAGGGCAAGTGCCTAGTTAGCCTCGCGTCTAACTGACATGCTGGGCTGGCGGGCGGCTAGCGAGGGAGCTCCTCCTCTGAGCGGTCTGCTCAGCTCCCTCGCACGCCGCAGAGTGAGGCTGGGAGCTGGAATATGACGTCATCAACCCGTCTCCCAGCCTCACTCTGCGGCGCGCGAGGGAGCTGAGCAGACCACTCAGAGGAAGAGCTCCCTTGCCAGCCGCCCGCCCGCTAGCCACTGCACCCCCAGGGAGAGAGGGACCCGTCCCTCCCCCCCAGCATTCCCAAAGGTAAGGAGGCTGGGGGGGGGGTTAAATAATAATAATTAAAAAAAAGTGTTAATGTGAGTGATTGTGTGTGTGTGTCTTGTAACTGTGTGTCTTGAGGGTCTTGTAACTTATAGGTGTGTCTAATCATGTTGGCATAATAATTATAAGTAATATTGAAATTCAAGCCACCCTTTGTAAACTTTTTAGAAATAATTTTGAGACTTAGTCTCGGTTTCTTGTTTTTCCAGATGAACCTAGAGAAACTGGATTGGATCATGTCCAACCAGGGTTTAGGAATCTTAAGAGGAATCATAGAGAAAAAATAAGACCACTGTGGCAGAATATAAGATTTGATAATATTAATTTTCCCCAACCACGTTGTCTCCAAATTTTTCCATTTTTGTAGTTTATAATTCATATTTTTCAAGAGAATTAAAACATTTCTCTCTATTAGATCAGTAACTCTGGTCGGAATAACTATCCCCAAATAAGTTATTTCCTTGTTAGTCCATATAAATTTATAATTATCCGATAGTCTATCCACCACCATATTATTCAAGTTAACATACATTGCCATAGATTTCGAAATATTTAGCTTAAAATTAGATACCTTACTATATTTCTCAATTTCTTTCATAAGCGGAGGCAAAGAATCCTGAGGCGTAATTAGAGCATCATCCGCATATAGCAAGATTTTTATATCTCTATGTATTGTAGGGAAGCCCTTAATAAGTGGGTTATTCCTTACGCTGATGGCCAGTGGTTCAACCGACATGCTGTAAAATAATGGAGACAGGGGACAATGCCTCGTGCCATTTCTAAGAGCAAGCCATCCCGCCGATATATTGGGGCCAACT